TATTTATTTTCCTTTTTTGTGGGGATTAATGTAATTTCCAGGAAGGAAGCAATGGAAAGGCGACTAAGTATGGTATTGGGGTAGATGATAGAAACCACATTGAGTCATAAGTCAATAGTTTGTCTGTGCATGGGAAGGCTGATGTATCAATTTCCAAGTCTTGCTTTTTCCTTTGTCTTGGTTTCATATTGGAATATATTATTCCAAACTTTTTTAGGAATTAATTATAGGTTTTTTTCCCCTATAAATAACAAGGTGGATCAAGGGCTTATTCAAATCATATACATACAAGTTCAAAGTAGCTGAGAGAGATGATGATTATGATGATGGAGTTGAAATGGTTTATTAGGATAGCTGTGATGAGTGTGTTGTTGGTGTTGGAAGGTACTACTACTTATGCTTGTTTGGAGCATGAAAAAATTGCTCTCCTGCAACTCAAACCTTTCTTCAATGGTTTCGATTATCTGAATAACTGGGATGAGGTGAAGATCCCTAATTGCTGTCAATGGAAAGGGATTGACTGCTACACCACCACCGGGCGACTCAAAGGACTTGACCTTAGTTACACAATGTATCGTAACAAGGGGTGGTATCTGAATGCCTCTATGTTTCTTCCCTTTGTGGAATTGAAGAGTCTTAATTTACGACATAATGCCATTGCTGGTTGCATTCAAAATGAAGGTCTTGCCCTTACTTTCATCTTTTATTATTCCACTATACACAGGTTTTCATCAAAAACTAGCTGTTGTTTTGCAATTACCCATAATTGTCACGTTTATTCTATTGAAGAAAAGCCACTAACTCCTTTTATGTATTTAAAAAATATTTTTGCAGGTTTTAAAAAACTCTCAACTGCGTTGAATAATTTGGAGATTCTTGACTTAAGTGGGAACCAGTTGAATGATAGTAGCATGCTATCTTTGAGTGAGCTTTCGTCTCTCCGGTATTTATATCTAGAAGACAATCAAATCCAAGGATCAAGTCATTCAAAGGGTTAATTAAGTTAATTAATCAAATAAACTTAAACATGGAATATTATCATTTATTTATGTTATTGCAGCAACTAATATGTTCACATCAGATTTTTTAATTTTAGATGGCAATTAACCCTATGTTGTTTTCAAGTTGGTCAACTTATTAAATATTCAGTATCCGATGATATTAATTAGGGACATGTTTCTACAATAGATGAAGCACAATTGAGGCTACCAAAGTTGCAGAAACTTGATTTGAGTTTTAATCACTTTCGGGACAGCACGTTTGCGTTCCTTGAGGGACTTTCAAACCTAGAATCCTTGGCTATGATTTTTCATTATCAACTAAAGTTTTAGATTTACCTTTTTTCTGTTTACCTGTTCATTAAAGTTTTGAATTGATATATATATATATAGGATTGAGTAATTTGACAAACTTGAAGTACTTGGATTTAAGTGGGAATCAAATAGAAAGCCTTCAATCCTTCAATGGTATGCATTTACATTTGATCAATTGTCTAAGACATAAATAAAATTTATGCTAATTTTTATGATTAAATTATGTAAATCAATCTTTTATAGATGCTGGTACAAAACTGAAGCAGTTTGCCCATTTAGAAGAGCTTTATTTAGGTGGAAATCTCTTCAACAACAGTGCATTTGCATCCCTAAAAGTGTTTTCAAATCTGAAGAAGTTGAGCATGAGCGAAAATCTGTTAAAAGGATCATTAGATATGAAAGGTAAAAGCATCTTTTTTCTGTCAAAATTCTTCCAAGTCTGTTAACAAAACTATTAATAACGTTCTGATCAATGGAGTTCATCTCTTATTTTTCTTTTCTTTTCTCATATTTGGATATATTTACCAACTTAAGGGAACTACATATGAGCGGTAATCAATTTAAAGACATTGTGATCCACAAAGGTATCATTTAAATAAACTTAGTTTTTGCTTAAACAAAGTAATTATCTGAAAATGATCCACCAGGTGGATTACTTATATTAAAAATAGGAAATCTAGAAAAAGAGAAAAACTGTATAATTAATAAAATGAAAGAACCAATAAGTTGGTCTAGTGGGATGAGGCACTAGGTCATTTAAGCAAGGTCAGGGGTTCGAATCTTGATGTTTGCGAATGAAGCAAACTGTGTTGGGAGGGTAACCTTTGCCTCTGTAATATCTGATCTGGATTTCAGTGATTTATTAGAAAATAAAATAAAATGAAAGAAGAGTAATTGTAAAGCTTATTGGTTCCTTACCGAATCAAGGTGTAAATTTATGGCTCAAATCTAGACCTCGTAATTTTTCAAATATAATTTGGGTAAATTGCATGTTTAGTATATAAACTATCAGTTTTCTTAAAACTATACTTTACGTTTAGTTTTTGTTTCATTTTAGTACATTATCATTGAAAACTTAAACGCACTGCATTTTTATGGGTAAATTCTTTCATTCATCACTCAATTATCTTCTCACTCCTATTTTGGTACTAAAATTCAAAAAAATTCAATTTAACTATTCAACTTTGAAATCACTTTCATTTTATCACACTAACATATTTATTAATAATTTTGTGACATGACATTTTTTATTAAAAAGTTTGAGTGATTAAATCAGGAGTAGTTTGAAAGTTAAGTAATTAAATTAAGAAAAAATTAAACTTTAGTGCCCAAAATAGGAGTGAGAAGATAGTTGAGGGTGATGAATGATGCAATTTACCCTTAAAAACGGTGTCATGTGCAAATAACCATTTTAGTTTTTTAACAACGGGATACTAAAACGAAACAAGAACTAAAACTTAGGTATGGTTTTGAAAATTTTAAAAGTTTAGGTACTAAAATTGATAGTTTATGTAGTAAATGTATAATTTACCCATATATTTTAGGTACTACAACTTATGCTTGTTTGGAGCATGAAAAAATTGCTCTCCTGCAACTCAAACCTTTCTTCAATGGTTTCGATTATCTGAATAACTGGGATGAGGTGGAGATCCCTAATTGCTTTAAATGGAAAGGGACACCACCACAGGGCGACTCAAAAGACTCGACCTTAGTTACACAATGTATGGTAACAAGGGGTGTATCTGAATGCCTCTATGTTTCTTCCCTTTGTGGAATTGAAGAGTCTTTATTTAGGAAGTAATGCCATTGCTGGTTGCATTCAAAATGAAGGTCTTGCCCTTACTTTCATCTTTTATTATTCCACTATACACAGGTTTTCATCAAAAACTAGCTGTTGTTTTTGCAATTAGCCATAATTGTTACGTTTATTCTATTGAAGAAAAGCCACTAACTCCTTTTATGTATTTAAAAAATATTTTTGCATGTTTTAAAAAACTCTCAACTGCATTGAATAATTTGGAGATTCTTGACTTAAGTTGGAACCAGTTGAATGATAGTAGCATGCTATCTTTGAGTGAGCTTTCGTCTCTCCGGTATTTATATCTAGGAGGCAATCAAATCCAAGGATCAAGTCATTCAATTAAGTTAATTAATCAAATAAACTTAAACATGGAATATTATCATTTATTTATGTTATTGCAGCAACTAATATGTCCACATCAGATTTTTAATTTTAGATGGCAATTAACCCTACGTTGTTTTCAAGTTGGTCAACTTATAAAATATTCAGTATCCGATGATATTAATTAGGGACATGTTGTTTCTACAATAGATGAAGCACAATTGAGGCTACCAAAGTTGCAGAAACTTGATTTGAGTTTTAATCACTTTCGGGACAACACGTTTTCGTTCCTTGAGGGACTTTCAAACCTAGAATCCTTGGCTATGATCGACAACAAATTGCAAGGTTCGATAGATATTAAAGGTAATAAAACTGTAACCTTTTTTGACATTTGACGATTTTTCATTATCAACTAAAGTTTTAGATTTACCTTTTTTCTGTTTACCTGTTCATTAAAGTTTTGAATTGATATATATATATATATATATATATATAGGATTGAGTAATTTGACAAAGTTGAAGTACTTGCATTTAAGTGGGAATCAAATAGAAAGCCTTCAATCCTTCAATGGTATGCATTTATATTTGATCAATTGTCTCAGACATAAATAAAATTTTTGCTAATTTTTATGATTAAATTATGTAAATCAATCTTTTATAGATGCTGGTACAAAACTGAAGCAGTTTGCCCATTTAGAAGAGCTTCGTTTAGATGGAAATCTCTTCAACAACAGTGCAGTTGCATCCCTAAAAGTGTTTTCAAATCTGAGGTATTTGAGCATAAGCCACAATCTGTTAAAAGGATCATTAGATATGAAAGGTAAAAGCATCTTTTTTCTGTCAAAATTCTTCCAAGTCTGTTAACAAAACTATTAATAACGTTCTGATCAATGGAGTTTATCTCTTATTTTTCTTTTCTCAGATTTGGATATATTTACCAACTTAAGGGAACTACATATGAGCGGTAATCAATTTAAAGACATTGTGATCCACAAAGGTATCATTTAAATAAATTTAGTTTTTGCTTAAACAAAGTAATTATCTGAAAATGATCCATCAGGTGGATTACTTATATTAAAAAATGAAAGAAGAACCAACAAGTTGGTCTAGTGGGATGAGGCACTAGTCACTTAAGCAAGGTCAGGGGTTTGAATCCTGACTTTTGCGATTGGAGCAAACTGGGATAAGACCTGATCTGGATTAGTTGGTTAATAGATCGGATAGTGATTAATTCAAAAATAAAATAAAATGAAAGAAGAGTAATTGTAAAGCTTCAACATAACATTCTTTTCATTGTTAAAATATTTATCTACTCCTTTCTCTCTCAGAAATTAAGGGATTGAAAAATTTAAAAGTTGTTTATCTCGATGCTGCTTTCACCGATGGAAGTATTTCGCTGCTGAACTTGGTCGAGGCTTTTTCAACAGTTAAGACCTTGTCTCTAGTTGGCAATCATCTGAACAAGGCTATGAGTACTCGAGGTAAGTCATTGTTTTCAATTCCAACACTACTTTATTATGTTTGATTAACTTCTAATACCAACTGCCATTTATTAGGATTAAATCTGTCGACGAACGTGGAGGAAATACTTCTCGATAGGTCTACTCTCAACACTAATATTTTACAGAGCATTGGAGTAATCACTTCTCTTAAAACTCTGTCTTTATCTGATTGTGGACTTATTGGTCCCTTACCTAATCAAGGTAAATTTATGGCTCAAATCTAGACCTCATAATTTTTCAAATATAATTTGGGTAAATTGCATGTTTAGTACATAAACTATCAGTTTTCTTAAAAACTATACTTAATGTTTAGTTTTTGTTACATTTTAGTACATTATCGTTGAAAACTTAACGGCACTGCATTTTTATGAGTAAATTATATCATTCATCACTCAACTATCTTCTCACTCCTATTTTCGTACTAAAGTTCAAAGAATTTCAATTTAACTACTCAACTTTCAAATTACTCCCATTTTAATCACACTAATATATTTTATTCATAATTTTTGTGACATGACATTTTTTATTAAAAAGTTTGAGTGATTAAATCAGGAGTAATTTGAAAGTTAAGTAAATAAATTAAGAAAAATTAAATTTTAGTGCCCAATCTAGGAGTGAGAAGATAGTTGAGGGTGATGAATGATGCAATTTACCCTTAAAAATGGTGCCACGTGCAAATAATCGTTTAAGTTTTTTAACAACGGGGGTACTAAAATAAAACTAAAACTAAAACTTAGGTATGATTTTGAAAATTTTAAAAGTTTAGGTACTAAAATTGATAGTTTATGTACTAAATGTAAATTTACCCATATAATTTCTAGAATGTATCTCTTCAATATTTTTTCATCAACTTTCTTTTATTTAATAATTTTTCAAACCAATTTTAATTAGAATTTCTATTACAAAATTTATAATATTTTCAGGATGGTGTGATCTAAAAAAAGCTTGAAATATTGGATGCAAGTTGGAATACACTTGAAGGGATGCTTCCTCTTTGTTTGAGTAACTTGACTTCTCTTCGTGAGTTAGATTTGTCTAAGAATCGACTCAATGGAAATCTAATTCCTTTAACAAATCTTACATCACTTAGATCCATCCATCTTTCAGGAAATCATTTTCAAATTCCAATGTCATTGGTTCCATTTACAAATTTACCAAACCTCAAGTTCCTCTACATTGATGAAAACAATATGGTAATGGAACCTTCCTCCTCTACGCCCATCCCAAAGTTCCAGCTAAGAGAGATCATTTTGTCAAACTGCATAACATCTCAAGAACTCAGTCTTGAACTTCCCACCTTCCTTCACTACCAATATGACTTGAGATTTGTGGATCTTTCTGGAAACAATTTCAGTGGAACGTTTCCAGTTTGGTTGTTAGAAAACAATACGAAGTTAGTGGAGTTCATCTTGAATGGTAATTCTTTTAAAGGTCGTCTCAGATTACCGTCAATTCCTAATTCTAATTTAGCTTCATTTGACATATCTGATAACAAGTTACAAGGTCAGATTTCAACCAACATATGTTCAATTTATCCACATTTGGTAATCTTATTCTTATCTAAGAATGCCTTTGAAGGTAACATCCCTCCTTGTTTAAGTGGCATGAAGGATTTATATTTTTTAGATCTGTCAGACAATCAATTGTCTGGAAGAGTACAGGAAGAGTTGATCATGAAAAGCTCGTTGTACGTCTTGAGACTATCAAATAACAACCTCAGCGGAAATGTAGTTCCTGCGATTCTCAAAGCAAATTGGTTGCGAAATTTATATTTGGATGGAAATAATTTTTCTGGAGAGATGGTCAATGTTGATGTCTCTACTATTCAGTTTCCAACTTCACTGCAGGAAATTGATCTCAGTAATAACAAGTTGTATGGAAAGCTCCCAAGATGGATGGGGAACTTGTCAGATTTGCGGAGATTGGCTTTGTCTAACAACAGTTTTGAGGGTTCTATTCCAATAGAGTTTTGCAAATTGAATGGCTTGGAAATTTTGGATCTTTCTCGAAACAATTTATCTGGCTCTATGCCATCCTGCGTCAATCCTCCATACATAGAGCATGTCCACCTTCATGGGAATAGACTGAGCGGTACATTGTCACTTGCTTTTTATAATAGCTCTTCACTTGTGACATTAGATCTTGGAGAAAACAATTTAACCGGTAGGATTCCGAAATGGATTGACACTCTTTCTTCTTTGAGTGTCCTTCTGTTAAGAGCTAATCATTTACAAGGTGAAATTCCAGTTCAATTATGCAATTTGAATTCCTTGAGCATTATTGACCTTTCTCAAAATATGTTTTCTGGCTCTATACCTTCTTGTTTGGGAAATTTAACTTTACAAACGCATGAGAATAAGATCATACAACATGGGCAAGTGATAGAAGCAACAGATCGTGAAATGAAAATAAACCATGCCTTTGTCGACAGCTACATTGAAGAACGGATAGATTTCAGAACAAAGAGTTGGTTCCACTCGTATGGGGGTAACATCCTTAAGTACATGACCGGGATTGATTTATCTTGCAACAACTTAACTGGTCAGATCCCACGCGAATTAGGAAACTTGAGTGAAATCCATTCTTTAAACTTGTCACACAACAACTTGGTCGGAGTTATACCCTCGTCGTTTTCAAAACTTAAGCAGATTGAGAGTTTGGACCTTTCCTACAACAAGTTGAGTGGTGAAATCCCAAACCAGTTGGTAGAGTTGAACACTTTGGAGGTTTTCAGCGTGGCATACAACAACTTGTCAGGCAGTATTCCAGAACCGAAAGCTCAATTTGGTACCTTCATTGAAAACAGTTATGAGGGGAACCCTTTTCTCTGTGGACCTTTACTGAATAAAAGTTGCTCGAAAGCCGACGCACCATCAACAGAGTCACCTCCGTCAGATGATGATGAAGGAGAAGATAATTGGGTAGACAAGTATGTTTTTTGTGTGAGCTTTGTGGTTTCCTATGTAGTGATGTTGTTGACAGTTTTTGTCGTGCTTTACATAAATCCACATTGGCGAAGAACTTGGTTTTCTTTCGTTGGGAAGTGCGTCACTACCTGTCGCTATTCAACCATGGGAAATTTCATTGTGTATCACATCTCCAAAATTTGTGCTTAGCTGCCATGAAGATTTCATTGAAGTTGTTGCGTGCAGATCCAAGGAAAGGAAAGAAAATTTGAACTTTTGATCTGATTGTTTCAAATGTGCTTGAGATGAATTGTTGCAAGTCTTTTGTTTAATTTGTTGTTTGAATAAAGCTCTTATCCTTGTGAAAAGGAAGCTGATAGCCTTGGTCTTAATATAGTTTTATCATTGTATAGGAATGTTCAATTATCATTGTATACAGTGATTTACTGTTTACATATTTTAACTCCAATCCCCAATCTTTTTAAATGTCTTAACAAAAGGTACCTTAGTAAGATAAACTCGATTAGATAACTTATTTGTTTAAGTCCTCAAATTTATCATTTTAAGAACTCAACAACCATCGCCATATAGTTGAATAACCATTTTGTAACTTAATAATTAGAGGATTCGATAAAACAATGTCTTATAGTCGAGGGACCTTTTGTATATTTTACCCAATAGTCCAATTGAATGGGTGTAAAATACTTAAAAACTTGAATTTTCCACGAACTAAGACTTTATGCAACATTTTAACGATCAAATTTCAACCATTCATGTCAAATTCAATGTCCACATAATGTCGGACAAAAATTAGAAAATATTACAACGATTTAAGTACGAGTCTTGTGTATAAAATCAAATAAAAAGGAAGACTTTGTTTTTATTTTCCACAAAACCAACACTTTCAACACGATAACTATATAGTAAAATCTCATTTCATAATTAAATTTCATAGAATTATTTCATAAGAGATTTTGTTTTTCTTGTCAACAAAATTAAAATTTTGGGTAAAATATACAAATGGTTCCCGACTATAGGATATTGTTTATTGAGTCTCGCGACTATTAAAAGTTCCAAAAATGATCTCCTAACTATATGACTAGTCCTCCGACTATTAAAAGATACAAAATTATTTCATACACTCAAAAATAAAATCTTATTTATTATTTTAATGTATTTGTGAATTGTTAATTTGGAGTTTAGACTTTAAAATTACTTCAGACACTCTTTTGATAATTTTTTTATTAAATTTATTAATTTATGTTTATATTAGCTCTATATAATATTAGTAGATATTACCTATAGTTAAGAAAATAAGATAAAAATTTCGGTGAGCATAGCTAACAACGAGGCGAGCAATGAGCATCAAGCTTAACGAGTAACAAGCTTAATGAGCAATGACCTTAACGAGCAACGAGTTGAGCCACAAGTTTTCTTAACGAGCACGAGTAAAGCAAAATTTTAACGAGCTTAACGAGCAACAAGTTGAGTTGAACAACAAAATTTTTTTTAACGAGAACGAGTCGAGCATTGCCCAACTCGCTTGATAATCACCCTACTTTCTACACGTTAACTCTATAGTAGAAACACATTTTTCATAATTATATTTTAAATAATTTTTATTCAATTGGAAAGTAATGGACAAAACAAATAATTATCTTACTTTAAACATAAAATTATCAAAGATGAGACACAATTTAAATCTATACTTTTTTTAATTTTGAAATTTTAGTCCCGACTCAAATAATATAAAGATAATATATTTTTTTGGAATCAATAAAAAGGTAATACAATTGAAACATAGAAACATAAAATGATTAAAATTCAAGAAGGAGAATCAAACCTATAATTTATGCATTAAACATGCATTTATAATGGGAACTATTAAAAGGATCATTAGATATGAAAGGTAAAAGCATCTTTTTTCTGTCGAAATTCTTCCAAGTCTGTTAACAAAACTATTAATTATGTTCTGATCAATGGAGTTTATCTCTTATTTTTCTTTTCTCAGATTTGGATATATTTACCAACTTAAGGGAACTAGATATGAGCTATAATCAATTTAAAGACGTTGTGATCCACAAAGGTATCATTTAAATAGACTTAGTTTTTGCTTAAACAAAGTTATTATCTGAAAATGATCCATCAGGTGGATTACTTATATTAAAAATAGGAAATCTAGAAAAAGAGAAAAACTGTATAATTAATAAAATGAAAGAAGAACCAACAAGTTGGTCTAGTGGAATGAGGCACAAAATAGCGGATAATATTTACCAACTAGTATATAATTATGTTCTGATCAATGGAGTTTATCTCTTATTTTTCTTTTCCCAGATTTGGATATATTTACCAACTTAAGGGTACTAGATATGAGCGCTAATCAATTTAAAGACATTGTGATCCACAAAAGTATCATTTAAATAAATCTCTTCGTTTAGTATATAAACTATCAGTTTTCTTAAAACTATACTTAACGTTTAGTTTGTGTTACATTTTAGTACATTATCTTGAAAACTTAACGGGGCTGCATTTTTATGGGTAAATTATATCATTCATCACTCAACTATTTTCTCACTCCTATTTTGATACTAAAGTTCAAAAAAATTCATTTTAACTACTCAACTTTCAAATTATTCCCATTTTATCACACTAATATATTTTATTAATAATTTTTGTGACATGACATTTTTTTATTTATATATAATTAAAAATAATAAAATTGAATTTGAAAGTTTGAGTGATTAAATTAGGAGTAGTTTGAAAGTTAAGTAATTAAATTAAGAAAAATTAAACTTTAGTGCCCAAAATAGGAGTGAGAAGATAGTTGAGGGTGATGAATGATGCAATTTACCCTTAAAAACGGTGCCACGTGCAAATAACCATTTAAGTTTTTTAACAACGGGATACTAAAACGAAACAAAAACTAAAACTTGGGTATGATTTTGAAAAATTTAAAAGTTTAGGTACTAAAATTGATAGTTTATGTACTAAACGTATAATTTACCCATAGAATTTTTTTGGATAATTCATTTTATTACCCAAAGAAGCAGAATTTGCTACAAAAACAATCACCGATCACAAAAACCTTATGTACACCCTACTTACAAAGCAAAAGATCGGTTTAAGCTATACCCGAAGAATTACAAAGGAAAGTATTAACACTATCAAGCCTATTTATGTTTTTTCCCCTTAGTTTGATACCTACGAATTCTTTGTTGCAAATAAGAAGTTCTTCGGCAGATCTTGAGCATCCTTGGAAAATTCTTCGGTTACGTTCCTCCCACAAAACATAGATTCGACCACACCATGCAAGCTTTAAAACAGTAGAAATAAGAGACTTGCCTTTCCAAGTGTTGCATGCCCAAACTATCATGTCCTCCTAAGATGAAATGGATTTCTTTAACCCGTTAAGAAGCAATATTGCCTCCCATAAATTAGAAGCAGTAGGGCATTCAAAGAACAGATGAGACCGAGTTTCCATCGCTGCATTGCAAAGAACACAATTCACAGTAGTTGTAATCCCCATACGTTGGAGTCGATCACGAGTAGGGAGTCGGTCTAAAAGAGCCATCCATGCTATTATAATGTGTTTAGGAATATGGAGTGGCAATTAACCCTATGCTGTTTTCAAGTTGGTCAACTTATAAAATATTCAGTATCCGATGATATTAATTAGAGACATGTTGTTTCTACAATAGATGAAGCACAATTGAGGCTAACAAAGTTGCAGAAACTTGATTTGAGTTTTAATCACTTTCGGGACAACACGTTTTCGTTCCTTGAGGGACTTTCAAACCTAGAATCCTTGGTTATGAACGGCAACAATTTGCAAGGTTCAATAGATATTAAAGGTAATAAAACTATAACCTTTTTTCACATTTGATGATTTTTCATTATCAATTAAAGTTTTAGATTTACCTTTTCTCTGTTTTACTGTTCATTAAAGTTTTGAATTGATATATATATATATATATAGGATTGAGAAATTTGACAAACTTGAAGTACTTGGATTTAAGTTGGAATCAAATAGAAAGCCTTCAATCCTACAATGGTATGCATTTATATTTGATCAATTGTCTCAGACATAAATAAAATTTATGCTAATCTTTTTTTATGATTAAATTATGTAAATCAATCTTTTATAGATGCTGGTACAAAACTGAAGCAGTTTGCCCATTTAGAAGAGCTTCGTTTAGATGGAAATCTCTTCAACAACAGTGCATTTGCATCCCTAAAAGTGTTTTCAAATCTGAAGAATTTGAGCATAAGCTACAATCTGTTAAAAGGATCATTAGATATGAAAGGTAAAGGCATCTTTTTTCTGTCAAAATTCTTCCAAGTCTGTTAACAAAACTATTAATAACGTTCTGATCAATGGAGTTTATCTCTTATTTTTCTTTTCTCAGATTTGGATATATTTACCAACTTAAGGGAACTACATATGAGCGGTAATCAGTTTAAAGACATTGTGATCCACAAAGGTATCATTTAAATAAACTTAGTTTTTGCTTAAACAAAGTAATTATCTGAAAATGATCCATCAGGTGGATTACTTATATTAAAAACAGGAAATCTAGAAAAAGAGAAAAACTATATAATTAATAAAATGAAAGAAGAACTAACAAGTTGGTCTAGTGGGATGAGGCACTAGTCACTTAAGCAAGGTCAGGGGTTTGAATCCTGACGTTTGCGAATGGAGCAAACTGGATGGGCCTCGCCTCTGCAGGAACTGATCTGGATTAGTCGGTTAATAGATCGGATACCAGTGATTAATTCAAAAATAAAATAAAATGAAAGAAGAGTAATTGTAAAGCTTCAACATAACATTCTTTTCATTATTAAAATATTTATCTACTCCTTTCTCTCACAGAAATTAAGGGATTGAAAAAGTTAAAAGTTGTTTCTCTCGATAATGCTTTCACCGATGGAAGTATTTCGCTGCTGAACTTGGTCGAGGCTTTTTCAACAGTTAAGACCTTGTCTCTAGTTGGCAATCTTCTGAACAAGTCTATGAGTACTCAAGGTAAGTCATTGTTTTCAATTCCAACACTACTTTATTATGTTTGATTAACTTCTAATACCTACTGCCATTTATTAGGATTAAATCTGTCGACGAACGTGGAGGAAATATTTCTCAATTGGTCTACTCTCAACACTAATATTTTACAGAGCATTGGAGTAATCACTTCTCTCTTAAAACTCTGTCTTTATATGATTGTGGACTTATTGGTTCCTTACCTAATCAAGGTAAATTTATGGCTCAAATCTAGACCTCATAACTTTTCAAATATAATTTGGGTAAATTGCATGTTTAGTACATAAACTATCAGTTTTCTTAAAACTATACTTAATGTTTAGTTTTTGTTACATTTTAGTACATTATCGTTGAAAACTTAACGACACTGCATTTTTATGAGTAAATTATATCATTCATCACTCAACTATCTTCCCACTCCTATTTTCGTACTAAAGTTCAAAGAATTTCAATTTAACTACTCAACTTTCAAATTACTCCCATTTTAATCACACTAATATATTTTATTCATAATTTTTGTGACATGACATTTTTTATTAAAAAGTTTGAGTGATTAAATCAAGAGTAATTTGAAAGTTAAGTAAATAAATTAAGAAAAATTAAATTTTAGTGCCCAATCTAGGAGTGAGAAGATAGTTGAGGGTGATGAATGATGCAATTTACCCTTAAAAATGGTGCCACGTGCAAATAATCGTTTAAGTTTTTTAACAACGGGGGTACTAAAATAAAACTAAAACTAAAACTTAGGTATGATTTTGAAAATTTTAAAAGTTTAGGTACTAAAATTGATAGTTTATGTACTAAATGTAAATTTACCCATATAATTTCTAGAATGTATCTCTTCAATATTTTTTCATCAACTTTCTTTTATTTAATAATTTTTCAAACCAATTTTAATTAGAATTTCTATTACAAAATTTATAATATTTTCAGGATGGTGTGATCTAAAAAGCTTGAAATATTGGATGCAAGTTGGAATACACTTGAAGGGATGCTTCCTCTTTGTTTGAGTAACTTGACTTCTCTTCGTGAGTTAGATTTGTCTAAGAATCGACTCAATGGAAATCTAATTCCTTTAACAAATCTTACATCACTTAGATCCATCCATCTTTCAGGAAATCATTTTCAAATTCCAATGTCATTGGTTCCATTTACAAATTTACCAAACCTCAAGTTCCTCTACATTGCTGAAAACAATATGGTAATGGGACCTTCCTCCTATACGCCCATCCCAAAGTTCCAGCTAAGAGAGATCAATTTGTCAAACTGCATAACATCTCAAGAACTCAGTCTTGAACTTGCCACCTTCCTTCACTACCAATATGACTTGAGATTTGTGGTTCTTTCTGGAAACAATTTCAGTGGAACGTTTCCAGTTTGGTTGTTAGAAAACAATACGAAGTTAGAGGTGTTCATCTTGAATGGTAATTCTTTTAAAGGTCATCTCAGATTACCATCAGTTCCAAATTCTAATTTAGCTTCATTTGACATATCTGATAACAAGTTACAAGGTCAGATTTCATCCAACATATGTTCAATTTATCCACATCTGGGAGACTTATTCTTATCTAAGAATGCCTTTGAAGGTAACATCCCTCCTGGTTTAAGTGGCATGATGAATTTATCATTTTTAGATCTGTCAGACAATCAATTGTCTGGAAGAGTAGCGGCAGAGTTGATCATGAAAAGGTTGTACGGCTTGAGACTATCAAATAACAACCTCAGCGGAAATGTAGTTCCTGCTATTCTCAAAGCAAATGGGTTGTTAAATTTATATTTGGATGGAAATAATTTTTCTGGAGAGATGGTCAATGTTGATGTCTCTACTTTTCAGTTTCCAACTTCACTGCAGGAAATTGATCTCAGTAATAACAAGTTGTATGGAAAGCTCCCAAGATGGATGGGGAACTTTTCATATTTGCGGAGATTGGCTTTGTCTAACAACAGTTTTGAGGGTTCTATTCCAATAGAGTTTTGCAGATTGAATGGCTTGGAATTTTTGGATCTTTCACGAAACAATTTATCTGGCTCTATACCATCTTGCGTCAATCCTCCAGACATAGAGCATGTCCACCTTCATGGGAATAGACTGAGCGGTACATTGTCACATGCTTTTTATAATAGCTCTTCACTTGTGACATTAGATCTTGGAGAAAACAATTTAACCGGTAGGATTCCGAAATGGATTGACACTCTTTCTTCTTTGAGTGTCCTTCTGTTAAGAGCTAATCATTTACAAGGTGAAATTAACTTTACAAACGGATGAGGATAAGATCATACAACATTACCGAATGGTAGGAGATCATGCCTTTGCCGATAGCTACATTGAAGAACGGATAGATTTCAGAACAAAGAGTTGGTTCTACTCGTATGGGGGTAACATCCTTGAGTACATGACCGGGATTGATTTATCTTGCAACAAGTTAACTGGTCAGATCCCACGCGAATTAGGAAACTTGAGTGAGATCTATTCTTTAAACTTGTCACACAACAACTTGGTCGGAGTTATACCCTCGTCCTTTTCAAAACTTAAGCAGATTGAGAGTTTGGACCTTTCCTACAACAAGTTGAGTGGTGAAATCCCAAACCAGAGATGGTAGAGTTGAACACTTTGGAGGTTTTCAGCGTGGCATACAACAACTTGTCAGGCAGTATTCCAGAATCGAAAGCTCAATTTGGTACCTTCATTGAAAACAGTTATGAGGGGAACCCTTTCCTCTGTGGACCTTTACTGAATAAAAGTTGCTCGAAAGCCGATGCACCATCAACAGAGTCAACTCCGTCAGATGATGATGAAGGAGAAGATAATTGGGTAGACAAGTATGTTTTTTGTGTGAGCTTTGTGGTTTCCTATGTAGTGATGTTGTTGACAGTTTTTGTCGTGCTTTACATAAATCCACATTGGCGAAGAACTTGGTTTTCTTTCGTTGGGAAGTGCGTCACTACCTGTCGCTATTCAACCATGGGAAATTTCATTGTGTATCACATCTCCAAAATTTGTGCTTAGCTGCCATGGAGATTTCATTGAAGTTGTTTCGTGCTGATCCAAGGAAAAGAAAGAAAATTTGATCTTTTGATCTGATTGTTTCAAATGTGCTTGAGACGAATTGTTGCAAGTCTTTTGTTTATTTGCAGTTTGAATAAAGCTCTTATCCTTGTGAAAAGGAAGCTGATAGCCTTGGTCTTAATCTAGTTTTATCATTGTATAGGAATGTTCAATTATCATTGTATACTGTGATTTACTGTTTACACGTTTTAACTCCAATCCCCGATCTTTTTAAATGTCTTAACAAAAGGTACCTTAGTCAGATAAACTCAATTAGAGAACTTGTTTAAGCCCTCAAATTTATCGTTTTAAGAACTCAATAACCATCGCTCTATAGTTGAAGGATCATTTTGTAACTTAATAATTAGAGGAATATAAAACAATGTATTATAGTCGAGGGACCTTTTGTATATTTTACCCAAAAGTCCAATTGAATGCGTGTAAAATACTTAAAAGACTTAAATTTTCCACGCACTAAGACTTTATGCAATATTTTATCGATCAAATTTCAACCATTCATGTCAAATTCAATGTCCCCATAATGTCGGACAAAAATTAGAAAATATTACAACGATTTAAGTACGAGTCGTGTGCATAAAATCAAATAGAAAGTTGTTTTTATTTTCCACAAAACCAACACTTTCAACACGATAACTATAAAGTAAAATCCCATTTCATAATTAAATATCACATAATTTTTATTTAATTGAAAAGAAAGATAATTATTTTACTTTAAAGATATCAAAGATTTTGTTTTTCTTATCAACAAAATTAAAATTTTGGGTGAAATATACAAATGGTCTCCCGACTATAGGATATTGTTTAATGAGTCTCGTGACTATTAAAAGTTACAAAATGGTCGTCTAATTATATGACTAGTCCACCGACTATTAAAAGTTACAAAATAGTTACCTTATTATTCATTGTGTTCCAAACTCATCCCATTTTCGTTAAAAATTGAAAATGGTTTGATCTGAAAGTTAACCTGCTAATTGGGATATAATAGTCATTTGAGATTTTGAAATCAGATTACATCATATATCAGTCAACAAGATAACGTCCAAACTCAAATTGTCATCATTTTTTGAATGAAAAATGACGAGTTTGGAGCAAAATGAATAGTTAGGAGACCATTTTGTAACTTTTAATAGTCAAAGGACTTAAAAAAATAAAGTCTTATAGTCCAAGGAATATTTTATAACTTTTAATAGTCGGATGACACAATAAAACAACACTCTATAGTCTGGGATAATTTCTATACTTTAAAGATTTCTACACGTTAATTAGAGAGCTCTTGTCATCATTAACTTATTGATAATTATTATAACTTAATGGTGCATAAAATGAAACTAATAATTCGTGAGCCTTGATGTTGAAAGTGAATGCCGATGGAGCTCGGGATCATCATGGATATGCCTTGTGTGGAGGTGTGATTCGAGATGGTAGGGGGAGTGGCGTCTTGGTTTTGCACGAGCTGTTGGTATTTGTTCCGTCTTTGAGTCGGAACTTTGGGTATGTTCGCGGGCCTGCAGCAAGCGTGGAACATTGGAGCTAGGCAAATTAATCTCGAAACGGACAATGGCGAGGTCTATAAGGAGCTTTCCGGTACACTTCCGGGGAGTACGACACCAACTATTTTGCAGCACATACGCTCTCTTCTGCAGAGGAACTGGGTGGTATCTATTTCGCAAGTTAAACGTAAAGCTAATCAGCTTGCCGATAGTATTACTAAGCTGGTTCAGACAGATGATTTCTTCGGACGGAAATTTGAGTCGATTCCTATTGCTCTCAACCGGATTTTGATTGAAGACAGCCTAGGCTTATGTAGCTAATTCTTTATTTCTCTTTGCTTACCAAAAAAAAATTACAATGAAAGCTTACAACTATAATAGTAAAATAAAACACGTAACAAAGATATTTTCTTAAACACGAGAAAATTAACTACTTAAGATCAGAAGAATCATACAAGGAAAAAGTTAAAAATCTAACTAAATAAACTCGGATAAAAGGTTGATCCAAACAGATCTGGTTGTATAGATAATCAAACGATTAAAGGGGATGAAGCTATTGAAAAGCCACCGACAAATCACAAATCAGAATTGAGCGATGTAAAAATATTATTCATGAACTCAAATCATGTATCCAAATTCAATCCAAGGATCTAAAGCAAGTAAGGTCAGCATGATAACAAATAAAGTGTCATCTTGATCGATTAGTCGTGATGATATCAAATCAAACCTTAAAAAAACAAAATAACAACTAAACGATAAAAAACGTGTCATAAAGATAACGAAAAATGTGTCATAAAGGCAGAAGAAAATGTGTCATAAAAATAGAAAAAAATGTTTCATAAAGACATAATTATTAAAAATAAAAAACAAGAAAAAAATAAAAATACGCTATAATAAAATAAATGATAAATAATGAATACCGACGGTCGGCAATAAGAACTAAGACTGATGTCGTCGTCGATCAAAAAAAAAAACTAACGACGACTAAAGAAAAAAAGAAAAAAATAGGGCAAACTATCATATAATTTTCCATTTTTATTTTAATTTTTTGGACTTTATTTTAATAAAATGACTTTGTTTAATGATTTTTCATAACATAGTCTCAAAGTATTTTCATAATATAAAATTTTAAAAGGTAAAGGTATTTAACATTTTTATATAATATTTTAATTTTTTATTATTTAAAATATAAAATAAATATTACAAAAAATTATAAATTAAAGTTAAGATTTTATTCCATCCAAATATCCCTAATGTGTTTTATCATTATGTGAGCTTATTATAATATTTGTCATGTTTTTGTCGCACGTTTAAAATGTGTTTGGATTGGATTTTTGGATCTGAACCTCACATCCTTCACTCGTCACTCGTATTGATTCGGGTTTGACGAGATTCAATCCAACCCGAAATCTGACTTGATTTTTAGATAAAATCTCACATTCAGCTTGATCTAATTTAACACATGTATAATTTTATTTTTAATAGGTGTAATAGTTATATTTTTAAATATATAAAGGATAGTTATATTATTTTTTGGATCAGATTAACATTTTTTTCATCATAAACTCGTACCTGATTATACCTTAAAAAATCAACCCAATTCAAACTCAATTTTTTTCTTTAAAAAAACTAACCTTATAAGAACAAGTCATGTAAAAAACCGACGAGTCTGTGTTATTTATGTCTTCTTACGTGCATCTTACAAACAATAATACAAAAAACAACAATCTACATGAAACATAAAATCATTTAGTAAATTTTTATATTTGCTTAATATCTTTGCATAACCCTAATGCATATGCATATATAACAAGATTGGATCACAAAAATCAACATTAATTTAATTTTTTTATTAAGCTAAGAAGATTATAAAGTAGTATCTATTCTAAATACTTTCAACCATTTGACATTGACCGCTCAATCATCGTACTGCAGTCGTTGGTGCTTGAACCTTTCTGAATTAGAAGAAATTTAGAAGAGTTGTCATTATAATATGTTAGTCTCTATAAAACTTTGTCTGAATTAGTTAATTAATATATTGAATTATCAAAATTAATGAGATTTTTTTTGAATAATGTGTTGATTTTTTTGTCATATAGGGTGTAGGGCAATTTCTAGGGATCCTCTAAAACGTACGTTCACTAGAAGTGGTTTGAAATAGATGAAGATTTCTGAAAACCGTCTAGAGTGTATAACGTCTTCTTCAGATTTCATACATGCACGATAACAGAGATAGCTGGTAACGTTTTATAAGTCGTCGATGATACAAACATCATTTAAAAAATCATCGTATAATTCAGATGACTTCCAACAGGTACCGTAATAAATACTTTAGTTAAAAAGCAATTTTCTTTATACTTTACCTGAATAATATTTTTTAACACATGATTGGAGTAATTTTACCCAAATCAATGATTAATATATATATTAAAAAAAGTTTACGACATGAGTTTTGCAATTTATTTGGGCCTTTTTCTTGGACCTTTTTTCTTTTATTAATTTTAACTTCAATTTTGTTTGGATTTGATTTTCTCCTCATTTTCTCTCTCGCGTGCATCTTCCACAACAAAGACCGATTAGCCTTCTTCTAACAAAGAAGAGCTCTTTATTTCCTCTATTTCTCTCAAAATACCCAACACTTCAATACCAAAAAAAAAAAGTAAAACAGGTAGAAAAAAACTGGGATTAAACCTTTGCTTACTTCCGCTGCTTATCTCTTTAATCTGTGATTTTATAATCTAATTTTTTTATTAATTTGAGAGAGAGAAAAAGAAGAAAAGAAACGATATTGTTCCTTCCTATAATGCCCAATTTGTTGCGGGCTGGGTAATAATCTAATCTTCCCAATTACCATTGAATTTTGTTTTATTTCGAAAACTGATTTAGGGTTATTTTGTTTAACATTCACGCTTTGAATCAAAGCTTTTTTTTGGCTTTTGATCGATACCCATTTACTCTTATGGTACTCAGAAAGATAAAGTTTCTATTTTGAAAAACCTTTTTAGGTTTTTTTTTTTCGTTTATTAATCGTTGGATGAAATTGGGGTCTTCTTAAAGTTTTCTATTTTTGTATAATGGGTACTTGGTGTTTGCTCAGTTGGAGTTTTTGTTTGATTGTATATTTTTGTTTCTAGGGTTTTCATCCGGATCAACGGATTGGGGGAATTTCCCGAATTGGGAACTGATTAGTGTTCTGATCAGAGTATGAATGAGCTCAACCTCTCGTTTTTGCAGTATCGGATTGAGGAGCTATTTCTCTCGAGCTTTGGTTTTTAAACAGATTGCTTAAGGGAAATGGTTATTGGAAAGCTTTTGGACGTGGAAGAAGATTGCTTTCGTGATTAGTTGCGTAGATAGTGATTCAAAAGCTTGAGGATTTAGTTGTTTTAGACAAAAGGGTGCTTGGGTTTTTAGTGACAAAGTTGGTGGATGATTTTGGCCTTGGGTTGTGTTATTGGGAGAAGAAGGTGATGATTCTTTATTGTGCTGTAAGCAACAGAGAGTATCAGATTTTACTTGACTAATTTTGTTTCTTAAAAACCCATTTGGTTTATCATAGTTTTTGAGCTAGAATTCTTGATCAGAAGAGCATTTCTTGAAGTTATATTTCTATTTTGGGGCATTGTTGAAGTAGCTTAGGGTAAGATAAGAGTAGGTTTAGCAGTGATTGGAGACTTTGCTGCGGTGATTTTGTCATTCGAAGTGATTTGTTTAGTGTTAGATAGTTGAATTGGGGCTACATTTGAGGTTAGGGAGATTAAAGAGCTTGGTGGATTTAGGAACTTCTTTGAGCTATCGAGAGTGACAGGGAGGTCATGGAGGAACATTGAATCTGGAAATGTATGCAGATATATGGTGCATGGATAGGAGCATAGTTACTTGTTGTTCTCTTTCTGGAACATTGCTACTGGAAGATAATCCAAGTGTTTTTGCGTTCGGAAGGCATTATCGTTTCGTGTTCTAAACTTCTGTGAAATGTCGCGTTGCTTTCCTTTCCCACCACCAGGATATGAAAAGAAGGCTAGGACCAATGACGTGGACTTGCTAAATAAGGTTAACATCATTTGCTTGTATTCTGCGCCATTATCATGGTAGAATCAGTACACATCAGTATCGCGATGAGAACAAATTCCCTGATATCTGAATTGGATTTGAGCTTGCGCTTTCTGTTTTTATTTCCATGCGATGTTAAACTCTTTATTAAGTTTTTTTTTTCGTTTTCTCTGAAAATGTATTTTATGTATGCATAATCTTCTGTGACTACTTTTACTGAGAATTCAGTAACGCCATGCCTTGCTGAATGAGGCGTGTATATAGTTTTATGGATTAGGTTGATAGGCTGTATCATGAACATATCATATAGGAATGGAGCCTTTATTTGAAATGAAGTCGAAATGGAGCCTTATTTGAAACGGTAGACTGGCATTGCTGGTGCTAATTTATATACTCACCATTAGGCACTAGTTGTTATATTTATGACTGAATGAACATCTCAATTGTTATTTCAATCGTATATGGTCTATATGAATCTATGTCATTTATATTTACGACTGAATGAACATCTCAATTGTTCTTTCAATTGTATATGGTCTATATGAATCTATGTCATGTTTTTCTATTATACTATTTTTCTGATGATTTATTTAATTCATAGAAAAAAATTTTGCCAATACCCTGTTGAATGAAAGATCAAGTCGGGTTAATATCTCTCACCTTTTCTTTCTCCTCGCTAGAGATAAGCTTCTACTAACTGATGTTTGACTTGCTCTATGGATCACACAATAAAGAATTTTACTATTTTTTCTTCAGGATTTAATGGATTTTTCAATCATCCTTCTTAATGTGCACTTTTATTTCTGTTCTTATTGACGATGATGTTATTGTTTACAACCTTTGATAAGTGACGAGTGACGACACCCGTGTGTAATCAAGCTTGTCCTAAGGTTTAGCTCCCCTCCACTAATTTTGTGTCCTTACTGATTATGATTAATGTATTGAGAAGTAATGGATGAAAAAATATTGGGATAGAATATCAACCACTTCTCCTATTGGTTCGAGTATAAAGTTATTAATTAATTAAGAACACATGAATTTACTTTGTGTCTGTTTTTACTATATCTAGAAGAATTGGTTGCTTCCCGAGTTTTGACATTCTTAATATCTGTTGGAATAGTTGAATCCATATGCACTTGTGTTTGACATTCTTAAGATGGCTGTTAATGTTTTATCATATACCTTTAATTCCCATTGTCACAACCTTTCAAGACGAAATGCAAAGGGATTTTTGAGATAATTATCTTCTACGATGGCCTGTATTTAATCCTGATATATGATCGGTGTCTAATATGTTGACCGAGGTATTTCCGTAGGTATCTTTATATCTGCACTGATTGTAACTTGGTGCAGAATGGATGTTTTAGTAATTGATTTTTTAACTTTTGGGGTTTGCCGAATATCTGTTTGGTAGTTTCTGAGTTATGTCAATATTTCTCTTTTGTATTTGGTTTATGAATCTATATTTAGAAAAACTGCATTCTCGATTTTCAGGAGAAACAAAAAGAGAAGAGTCATAAGGAGAAGAAGAGAGACAAGGACAAGGAGGAGAAGAAGAGAGAAAAGAAAGAAAAAAAGGCGAAAGATAGAAGCGATGGAAAGCAAAAGGACAAGGATAAGAAAGACAAAAAGGAAAAAGACAAAGATAAAAAGAAGGAAAATGGTCGAGATAAAGAAAAAGAAAAGGACAGAAGTAATAACTCAGAGGAAAAGAAATTTTCTGGTCATTCCGATGTTCAGAATGGGGAGAAAATCTCAGATGAGAAGAAACTTCCCGGAAAATCTGAAGGTCACAGTGCGGAGAAGTTTATCCAGAAAGAGAAGGTTAGGGATAAAGATCGAAGCAGTTTGTCAGGTGAGAAGAAACTTGCTGGGCACATTTCAGGTTATAATGGAGAGAAGATTGGCCAGAATTGTCATCTGGCTGAAGATTTCCGGGATTCTAAATTTGTGCAGGAGTTGGCGGGGAGGGTCAGAGATGAAGGTGCAGGAGCTAGAAGCGAATTGGTGGATAAGTTTACGGGTAGTGACCGGAAAAAGGATGAGGGAATGGTCAGTTTTGTGGCTAAGACTGCTAATAAATTGGCTGAAGAGAAGGAAAAGACCAAGAAAAGTGATGATAGGAAGTTCAATGTGCAAGGAATCGAGGAGGAAACGAGAGCTGGTGGAAATGCTATGGTTTCGAACCTTTCTGCAGCAAATAAAGCTAGAGTTGAAGGGATCCCCAATCAAGTGGAGAATAATGCCGAGAGGCGCGGGGAAGGGAAAGAAAAAACCAAAGAAAAAGGAGATGATAAAATCAGGGATAAACGCAGGGATAAACACAGAGAGAAGAAAAGTCACAGAAAAGCCAAGGATAGGGACAAAGCGAAGGAGGAGAAGGCGAAGGCAAAAGGTGAACATAGGAATTTGGAGTTGGATAACTTAAAAGGAAGCAACAGAGATGACCCTCTGAATACCATCAGGTTGCATCCTTCTAAGGAGGGAAACAAGGATGCCATTGCTGAGGAAAATCTCCGCAAGCGGAAGGACTTGGAGAAAAACGGATTTTTTCATGGTGAGTTTTATACCATGATTGTATATACAATCCCGCTGATCACTTGAAAACATTTTTGGTGTTAGTTTAGGTAGGTGATCACTTGAAACTTTGGTGCCTTTTATCTGTTAGAAAACCCGTGAACAAAATCGTGCGATTGCATTCATGGCTAAAATTTGTCGATTTTTTTCTTAGAAGGGGACAGAGTTTGGAGGATCTATAACCATCATGGTGACATGTACTGCTTTCTATTTTGTTTTTCTTGCAGTTGATGATGTTAGACCCAATAAGTTGCCCAAAATTTCTTCTTCTCAAATGTTGACGGGCAACGGAAAGACATTGGAGTCTTGTCAAGCTCCCATTCCACTTACTTTAGATAGCAAGGGACCAGGAACCAGTCCTAGAGTCGAGAATAAAGAACGCAAGGTGAATGGTATTGTTGAAGCTCAGTTGTCATCTGTCTCCCCAGCAAAGCATTTATCATCAAGTGCACAAGCTAGTCAAATCGATGTAGTTTCTACCAAACCGCCCCATCCGGATTCAAAGTATTTGAGCCAGGTACTTACTGTGCCCAAAATGGAAGAATGGTCTGATTTTGATGAGCAATCGTGGTTATTTCAGAATACCGAATCTCAATCAAAGAAACCCAAGGTGGGATTTTCGCAGATTGACGAGCCACCACAAGTATGGGCAGAGGCTCTGCAGATAGATTCGGTTGATGTTTACGCTCTCCCATACGTTATTCCATATTGATTTTCTTTATTAGTGGGCACATGGTTAACCTTCCTACACTGCAGCTGGGTTTTGCCCTTTGGGGGCAGATTCTTTGGTTTTTCTATTCAGCATTCTTTTGTTGTTGATCTCGAGTGTTGCAGTGAATGCTTTTGAACGACTGGCTGCCAAACTGATCTGTCACGGCAACCATCGCTTGGCCTCTTATCGGGCCATTCCACCGCCTGGAAGTGTAAGCTGCGTATTTGCATCCTAGCACGAGACTACTAATTCATGCAATTCACACGAAGAGATGGAAGCACACAACCGAACACAACCAAACGAGGGTGCCTTAGGAAAAGGTAATTTATAAGCTTGTGCATTCTTATTCGAATTGCTTAAGCTGATACGCTCTTTCTAATTGAGATTGCGAGAGAAACTGGCTGTGGGGTCTTTGCAATTCCACTGCAATTTTGATTTGTAACATATAACTCTTATTTTTACAATAAAATGTAAGATAGGGGAAAAGGAAGAAGAGGCATTCATTCATTCACCTCTCCTGTTGCTTCTATGTTGTTTCGACTCTTCGCGCCAAAGATTTTTCGGATTTATGATCATGGTCGGATACCCGTGGTTTAAGGGACAGCACGTAAGTATGTTATCGGCATCGGTTGATTCGACCGGAAATCTCTTGGTCAACTGGTTCAACTTCGATGTTTAAAAGAAAGCAACCCCTTTTGTATAACCAGCTTATTATAAGCTCAAATTGAAAGGAAAAAATAACCAATTCTTAACCTTTAGGCTACCTATCATCTTTTTTATGTTTCTTCAATATTGTCCACTCTCTTGAATTTTCGAATTATTTTTTAATTATATATTTAAATTATTCGTTTAATAGAACTTTAATTAACATGATTAGTTTAATATAGGCTTAATTAATACAAAAGTAAGGACCCGAATTATGTCTTGAAAAACGTTTTCTTTAAAGAATTATTCGTTAAAAATAAGTGAATGATGTTTTCTCAATTATACTTTTAAATGCTCACTATTTATTTTTAATTATAAAAATATTATTTTTAGTTAAAAAAATTTATTTATAAAAAAACCTTATTTTTTACTGAAATAAAAAACTCTAAAAAATTAAAATCTTTCATTTTAATCCCTATTACCCAAACAGTTGTAGGCTATCTCCAACCGTCATCGTCGAAGGGTTGAGTTTTGATCAGAATTTCACGGTGGTTCGAATGGTGGCGGCGATGTGACTTATGGACGTCGGAATCGGCCGAAATCGAAGAAGAATGGCGACGGTATGCGACGAACCTTTGAACGTTTCTCCACAACAAACGATGACATATTACGACGAAAGGTCAATGGAGATTTGATTGGAGGTCGACGTCGGTGCTGATGACGGTGGTAGTGACGATCACCTCTGTCCGGTTGGCAACTATGGAAAGGGGGAAGGGGAAAGAGGAGGCACGGGAGGTTTTTTTTTTACAAAAAAATTATTTTTATTTTTTAATTTTTAAATAAATTTAAACGTAACACGTGTCACTTAAAGGGGATATTTAAAGGCGGTTAATGTCCGGACACCTAAAAATATTTTATTTAATTAAAAAGCTCATTTTCCATTATATTTTAATGAAAAATATTAAATGACTTAAAAATATTTTTTAGATTAATTATTGTGGTGCACTTTAACACCTTAGTAGTCCAAGGCATAAGTTAGTCCCTACAACTAAAATTGTTAAACTTTTGAATTGCTTGTTGACACGGACCAATAACCAACTTAAAAAGTTGATTATCTTAAAATCATTTATATCATTTATATTTTCGTTAAAATATCCAAAAAATATTAAATGAAATCAATTAAACAAATAATTTAATTAATCAAATGTTTCAAGAGCTACTTTGACAGAAGCTATCAATTTAGGAGTCAATTTGACCCAAAGACAAGTTCAGGAGCCAAATTAACAGAAGTTGTCATTTTCAAGGATCAACTTGACCCCTCAAAACACTGAGGACCAATTTAACAAAAGTTACAAAATGCAAAGGACAATTTGTGTATTAACCCTTCAGAAAAGTGGCTTAAGACCGTAATATATATGAAAACAAAGATAAAATTAACATAAGTCAACCTTCAACAGATTTATGTACACATTAAAAGCCAATTAGTGGAATTTTGTTCTCAGATTAGCATTGGAAGTCCATATCTTTGAGCAATGATGATCAAATCACCATATACAAAGAGAGTCGAGTGATATATATATATATATAGACACATACAAAAGAAAGATTTTTGTATACATTTGAGGTTAAAAGGAAAGCTTTGTTTATAGTTCTTTAGATAATTCTTCCCTTTGCCGGCTCATTCGAGCTCCCCATGACATGTTCCCTCCGGCATCCCTGTTCATGCTTCTTCTCTTCAGCTCATAGCTGAGATTGCCATCGGTTTCTCCACTCGCTTCGATCTTCTAGATCCTGGTTATGAAGAGAATGTAAGAATTTAAAGCAAACAAAACGGATCCTCTCAGAAGACCTGAAAGGATGAACAGACTCTAAAGACTTGTTAACAGATTTAGCATTACTTAATCAGAACACGCAAATCCTATTCGCAAGGACAGTTTCAAACAAGGTCTTTTTAGTTTCCCTGATAACCATGTCAAAATGAGGGGTCATATGGGAGGTGTCCAAATTCGAACCGAAGAGTTTAAGCATACAAGTGCAACGATCACATCCGACCAGTATGGAACTGGTATCAAAATAAAGGAAATGTTTGAACATGGTGAGTCGAGAAACAATTGAAAAGTACAAAATCGAAGAATGATGACTAATTAACCATCTCTATCATCTGCAAAAAGCAAAAGCTAGCGTCCCCATATTCAGAAAGCATACACAGAAAAACTCCAGATTAGAAGTTCTACCTACTAATAAAAAAAGTCCAATGGATAGAGTTGATTGCTTGTTGTTCCGGGTACCCGTAACCACACGGCTCAGCGACTCATACTAGTCTTGGACTCGAAAGATATGATGTGCACATTGAAGACTAAATGTGAAGAGAACAAAGGTTCATCTTCCCGAAGCTGAAGCAAATCGAAAAAGGTAGTATCCGACACGTAGGGACCGGTCTCTTCTCCGAATCAACGCAAAAAGGATCAACCATTTAGAGTAGGATCAATCATTAGACATAGATGCAAATTCAGAAGAAAAAAAGAACGAAAACCATTTCACACAAGATGATTCAAGCAACAGAAAATATCAATTTCCACAAGAAAAAAGAGTCGGTTTTTCAAAAATCAATCTCATCATAAACAAACAGAAAGTAAGTCAAAAGATGAAGTACCCAGTCTACACTTTCATATCCTTTAAGCTTACCCATAATACTATAACAGCCAAGCTTTACTTCTATGCTAGTAACTTTACATGTTAACCCAATATGACCCTTGAAGACCCTTGTAATTACAATCTAACCACTACACAGAATTAAGCAGTTACCATCATCGGCAGTCAAAATGAAGTAGATTTCAACTAGAATATAATTTGAGAACTTCGTCAAAGCATCAATTCAGTTGATTGGTGAAAATGAGGAAAATGAGGTTTGGCAAAAGATGGAGAAGGGTTGTGGAGGTATGGTACGGAATCGAACAACTTGTAGAGAAGGGTTGTGTGTTTCCAAGGCAGAATCCGGCTAGGAAGATGTCGTGGGTGTGGAGGAACAGAGTTAATCCGGTGGGTGATTTTCAGCGGTTTGATAGCAAGAAGATTCTTTTTATTAGTGGGGATGGTTCAGGGACAGATTTCTGGAACGATTTTTGGACCGAAGTTCCTTCGTTGAGATCATATTTCCCATTGATTTATGATCTGGCCATATGTCACACCCCAAAATTTATAGAATTAACATTAATAATTATCTCGCTTATTTGCAGGGACGATCTTGACACACTGTTATAAATTTCGGAGTCAATTTGAGTTTCAAAGAAATTCAAGGGCTCCTTTCCATCGATGATCATTTGATATATAAAAGTTTTATGAATACATTTTATATATAACGTTTTCAATCTATAAAATCTATAATTAGATTTTATCATTATCATTAATATATTCATAATTTTACTTATAATTTTATTCTTATTTTCATTCACTTTGATCTTATCTTTTTTGCCACGTATTCTTTTTGCATGTCCAAATCCACATGACACGTTAGCCGCTTCATCACAGGCGGCTCATTGTTCCAAGTGGACTTCTTCAATGATTAATAGATTTGGGAGTGAGTTAATCCGACTATATGTTTTAAATTACGATTTTTATTTTATAATTTATAGATTTTTAAAATTTTATTTTTATTTTTAGACTATAATTTTTATTTCAAATTAATATCTACGCTTTTGAATATCATTATAATATAATATGACATAAATATTAATCAATTTAAAATAACAATTAATATTTTTAACAATTTTTTAATATGAGACATCATTAACATATATCAATAATTTACATAAGACATATTAATGTTTATGAGACATTTAATAATTTTTTTAACGATTTTGATAACATAAAACATCATTACCATTTAGCAATAATTTAAAGAGAAAATATATATATATGAACAATTAAAGATCAACTTAAAATAAATATTTGATGAGAATAATTTAAAAGATTTGACGAGAATAATTTAAAAGATTTGACACTGAAAGAATAAGAAAGTGACCGATTTACATAAGCAATTCATATAAATAATGGCCTTCGATAGTAAACTTAGAATCTAGAATGGTATAAGTTTAAATGTTTTTTGTATAATAATTGAACTATATCACTCCACAAACACTATTATATAATATGGTAAACTACACATTTAATACCTAAACTATCAGTTTTAATTCATTCTAATACATAAACTTTCATTTTCTTCAAAACCATATCTGATATTTAATTTTTATTTTATTTTAATACTACACTATTAAAAACTTAATGCGTTTAATACCTAAACATAATACCAAAAGTGATAGTCTAGGAACGAAATGAGTAATTTACTCTACATAATATTATATATTATATTATATGATTGAACACACTAAAACCCAAATATTAGTACATATTGCTACAAATAGAACTATCCGACGCATTCCTTATAGGATTGGGGGATTAGGGTTGTGATTCAAGCTGGGAGAACACCACCAAAATTATCTTAAAAGCAAACATCATTTTGAATTTTTTATGTTTGCTGGTCTATATATCCGTATCCGACTCATTCACATACCCAAACACGTAGGGATATTTTCTACGGATTGACCCTCCAAGAACGTGAACAGGCTTTAAAAATATTCCGAACACACACTATAACCTAGGTATGGAAATTTAAACACACTCATGTCAGATACATATCGATATCCGACACTCACACATGAATCCAAGTAACAGAGCCGCATGCTAACTCAACCATTTCCAGAGGTTTGATACCAAATCCGTGCTCTTATACCTACTAGAAACGAAACAATGCAAAAAAAGGGAAAGGGTGGGGGGGAGAAGAGGAAAAAACTAGGAAAAAATGGGAAAAAAGGAAAATTGAAGACGAAAAACAGGGTGAGTTTTCGGCAATGCCATTACAGTCCTACTGGAAATCAACAACCAGTAGAACATCAAACTATTTACAAATTACTTCAGACAACATAATTTCATTCAAGAACTAAAAGCTATACACCGAAGGAAAGACCACAACCAGAGTATTAATATCTAGGGCAGGGTATCAAATAGCGTTTCGAAAATGCTATAGCAGCCACGATATTACGGTCGCGCCACTGTCCGAAACTGTTATTTATGATTTTTACGATGGGTCACGGATTCATATCGATCGCGGTCGATTGCGCCCGCAATTTAACGGAAAACGGACGATTACGCCGATAACGGGACGCAACAACCATTATTCAACTGTGATTCTAAAATAAAATCAAAAACTAACATTCCCTGCATTTGATTCTCGGTTACGAGGGAGGTGACAGGATCTTTGAGCTTCAAAGAAGAGAATACTCTTATTCAAATCTTGGTTGTAGTCATGACCAGCAAATACAAAAGAAATGTAAAATAGAAGAAACAAATGAGCCATTGAAAATGGACGATTTCAAGGTTTGTGAAAAGAAAGGAAAAAAATTGAAAGGAAGACGACGCAGCCACGGGGGAGAGAAAGAAGAGTTAGAATAGGATTTAAAGCAATTTTGGTATAATTTTCAGTTGATCCTGTTCTTTTTAGGGTTTTATAATATGGTAACATGTTTTACATTATTTTCAAATTGGCCACTAAAATTAATTTGAGGATTTAGAAAAAAAATTCTCAAAAGTTAGAATTTTTAATTAAGAATAAATTAGAGTGTTACACTAATTTTCTATGAAATATTGACTTTATTTATGATTTTTTTACACCTATTTATAATTTAAAATTTTTTATATACCATCCCCATACCTTATAATTTTAGAAATTACCATTTTTCGTCTTCATCCCGTATATATTTCCGTATTAGTGTAACATAAGACAGAAGGTCAGAACTATTTTTTTTTCATACAATGATGAGAGGAGGAAGGGGGGAAGCATATAGAAAAGTCGGGGAAAAGGGAGGCAGAAAGGTGAGGAAGGGTGGAGGGCGTGACATTTCTTTTTTTTTAATAATTTTTAAAATACAATTTTAAATGATATATTAATTTGAGATCCTCCAACTTTTAAAATTTATAATTTAATCCCTAGTTTAAAATATAAACTTTAATTTTTATTTAATTTAATCTTCATTTAAGTAATCTAAATTTATTCAATTTAAATTTTATAATTTTATTTTAATTATATTTAATTTAGTCATTTTAAGGTAAGTTGTGCGACATTTAAAAAAATCCACTACCGCGATACCCGTAATGACTGCAATAACATCTGTTATGTACGCAACCGTGATAAACACAACACGACCGAAAACGTGACCGCGATCGCTATTTAAAAACCATGATCTAGGGTACAAATGCAAGCAAATCTAACTTAACACTTACTATCATACAAAGGACTCAGGCAATCAGTGTCATGAAAGATTACCTGTGAAAAAACCATGAAATAATTTTTTAAAGGGATCAACCAATCTGTGCTACGGGGCTAAAAAATAGACGCTGTTCATCCTCGCCGAGTCTGGTTACACAGGACCTTAAAGTAGCTTTGGAAAATAACTTTCCTTGAAATGAGGAAAAAAGAAAAAAAAGGAAAAAAATACAAGCGAAGTGAAAAGATAGAACCAAGCCTAAAGACAGCAGTCACCTTATATGACAAATCAACACTAAAGGAATTTAAGAAAAATATAAATTTCATAGCACTAGCTCTCTGCCACAAAGCAACTGCATACCTTGAAATAGATAAGTAAAAACCAACCCTCCAAACAGATCACGATAGGTCCAACAGGAACACCTTGTAAAAACCTGCATGAGTTGGATATAACAGGCCGTCTAGACCATCAAAGACATATAAAAGTGGACCCATGATCAAGCACATCAATCAAAGGCCAAAAGTTGTACATTCAAGACTGCTAGAAGACAGGTGACTCGAATAAAATAAAGACCAGCATGTGTTGGAATCTAAACAAGGATGCACGCTTGCTGACACATAAAAATAAATAGAGGTAGAGAGGATAAATCTAAACCAGGCCGGAAACATTCAAATAAATGCTTAATAAATTACAGTTCAGCAGTAGAGATAATGGTCCAACATACATCTAGCAGTAAAGAAGCTTGCAACAAACATTGCATGGTTGATTGCAGAAGAAAGCAGAACACTGCTTGAATTACTTTATCCATTGTAAATGTGAGCTCAAAGACTTCAATGTCAATCTGTTCCAGATGCCTGCAAAGGATAAAGGAGCACAATGGCATACATTTATGAAGAAACAACAAATGTCTGAAAAATCCAAGCACGAAATGAAACACTGAGCAATGTCTTAAGTGAACTGTTGTTCATATGGGAGCCAAAAGCTCTCATTAAACTTAGATAACTTGTTCATATCTGAACAAGTTTGGATTGAACAAAGGCCAAAGTGGAGACTGAGCACTCAGACAACTTGGAACAGCTAAGGTTCAGTAGCATGCAAAGCCCACAGATCATTTCTGCTGAGGTGAAATTGAATAATCTTCTGATCCTGCAAAGAATGTATAAGAGTTGCTATCAGTCCTATCTGTATATCTTTTTTAGTGTTATTTCATTTTCGGTGATTTGTTAAATTACCATTACTATCAAGCCACTGCTTACTACCTGATCTTCCAAGTTCGTTTTGCTCATCTGCATTCAATCTGCTATATGGAGAGATTTCTTTATCCCTGCCAAACTTCGGAAAATATTTGCTTTTCAGTTCCTGATCATCATGTACTGAAACTTTTGAGTCATAAGTCTCATATTTTGAAACCAAAATCTTGTCATCCCCTGTATTTTATAAATCATCCACAATGTAAGAAAGCAACTCATTACCATATCCAATCTTTCTTATTGTTTTACCAAAATGTGAACTTTTATTGTTACCATCAAAATATTACTTACCTTCAACTGACTTTGACCTTGATCGCCTTCTGTGCCTTGAATCATTGTCTTCAGAACTTCTTGGAGAAGATCTGCTTCCTCTAGCAGGCATAGCTTCAGGAGATAATAAATGTTTTTTTTCATGACGTTTTGATTTTTCATCTATTTTATCAGCAGAACAATGTTTGCCCTCGGTAGACCTTGACCTGGAACGCCTTCGGTGTTTTGATCTATTTTCATCAGAATTTTGGGAGGACCGCCTGCTTCCTCTGTGATGCTTGCCATAAGCAGTTCTTGACCTTGATCGCTTTCTATCACGATGCTTGCCATCAGCAGATCTTGACCTTGACCGCTTTCTATCACGATGCTTGCCATCAGCAGATCTCGACCTTGATCGCTCTCTATCCCGATGCTTGCCATCAGCAGATCTCGACCTCGACCACCTTCTATCCTGATGCTTAGATTTCCTATCTCTACTTCTTTCACTCCTCTCTTTGGCATAATGCCTACCTTCAGCAGATCCTGATCGGGACCGCCTTCTTTCACTATGTTTCAATTCATCTTTTTTCACTTCATCAATTTTACTGTTCGAGTGAACCTTGTCTTCTACAGAAACTGATCTGGACCGCCTTCTGTGTTTTGAATTGTTTTCATCAGCAGAAGACCTCCTTTTGTGATGTCTACCTTCTGAAGATAATGACCTGGATAGCCTTCTACTGCTGTGTTTTGTTTTTTCATCTAGGATTTCATTCTTTTTGTTGTCAGAATCAGCAGAGTTTGATCTAGAGCGCTTTCTATATTTCAATCTTCTTTCATCATCATGCTTTGGGGATGACCTATTTCTTCTCTGCCGCCCTGGTGATGTTGAACCAGGACGGGCTGATTTCCTAAGCCTAGGTGAACTTTCTCTGCTCTGTTTTGGGGAGTCTGAATCTACAGGAGGTGATTTTCTATTTGGAGGACTAGTACTCCTATTTCTCCTCGAAATAGATGAATGGCTATCACGTGATCTCTCTGCATCTCGTCTGCTACGCCTGCCATTGTCATCCCTATCTCTATAAGTATGTCGTTCACTTTCGTATCTTGAACGATGGTGAGACCGCACAGGTGATCGGGACCTACGGTCACGTCGGAAACGAGGCAGAGGTGAATAAGAGCGAGACCTCCTTCTTCGCCTATAACTGATTGGTGATCTTGACTTGGACCTCGACCTTCTTCTATAAATAATTGGTGACCTTGACTTGGATCTTAATCTTCTCCGGTAACTAAGGGGTGATTTTGATTTGGATCTTGACCTTGCACGGGAAGTGTATGGTGACCTATAAACAGGAGTTATGAATCAGTAGAACTCAAATCTATTATTAAGGTTTGAAGTCTAACTTAGAAACAAACAAGGGGAGACATTGATCACTTTTTGTTCCTAATATGTAAAATATCATCTTAAGACAATACCAAGATTTGGAAACATGAGAAAATCATTGCAAATAGATAACTGTTGCACTATTCTGCTCATGAAAAAATAAACTTAAGGGAGAATGCAAGTAACCGTATTATTTAACAATATGGAAGCAAAGCCTAAATTAAAATTAAGCCTTAGTAAAAAAAATGCATGCAAGGAAGTAGACTTGTCCTGACGAGGAGAAATACCTAGATTTACTCTTGGTTTCCTTCTCTTCTGTAAAAAGCCCATCAGCTTTTAGCTTCTTACTTATTTCTGCAGCTCTTGCTGCAGCTAACTCTGTTGCAGACTTCATGCTTGCAGCCCGGTTAGCTGCCTGCTGAGCAGTCAATGTCTGTTGCATAAGCAAAGCCTGTTGGAATTGCATCTGTTGCATGGCAACAGCTTGCTGCATCATCAAAGGCAGAGATGAAGAAGTCACTGATGAAATAGCTGGTTTTGGAGGAAGAGTTTTGGCCATCTCCACATTTAATGGTCGACCACCAATATCCATATTGTTCAATGCCAATGCAGCGGTTGCTTCCTCGGGTTTTGAATATTCTATGTAAGCAAAATGCTTTGAATCAGTGATTGTACACTCAACAACTGTACCACAGAAGCTAAAAAGTTGCTTCAACTGCTCCACAGTGAGAAGTGGGTTAAGATTGCTAACTTGTAAGGTTTTTTTCAATGAATCACACTTTGCAGCTTTGTCAGGAGAATCTGAAAATCTTAACTATTAGGTTGGGCATTCAACTGAAATAAATAGGAAATAGAAAAAAAATTAAAGAAAAAGGCAGTGGAAAACAAGATAGTGTAAACGGTGCAAGATGAACCTTTGGTTGACTGAGTTTGTGCCACCTGCGCAGCATGAGCTTGAAGGGCCTGAGCAGCAACAATAGCCTGCGCTGCAGCCATTGCAGCTGCAGAAGGTGCCATAGGAACCTGACTGAGAGTTCCCATACTGGTTGTTGCTGACAAAGCAGTCATCAGTAAATTGTGGGGAGGATGGTTCAATTTGCAGTCAGTTTTGGCATAATGGCCATTGAGGTATTCTCGACAAACTTCACCAAGAGATGCCCCCATTCCTGGCAAAATAGCACCTCCTGAAGCACCAGATACGATGCCTGGGATCATTCCCAACAAGCCAGGGAAAGCTCCAGAAACAGATCCCGTATAGTTTGGCATGTTGGGCATTGTTTGATTTACAAGGTTTGGATATGTGGATGCAGGAGCCACCCCTAGTACAGCTCCAGTAGAAGCACCTGCAATACAACAAATTCAACATCTGCTCCATGAGCACTTAAGAATGCAGTCATAAGCTATGCTCAAAACTGAAGTCACACATATCAACAATAAGCAAGAACAGAAATTCAAAATAAAGTTAGATGGCAGTGAGCAAAATTATATGAAGGTGAGACACATCAAGAACATTTCTCATTCCAATTTGTGAGCCTTCTTCACACAGAACAAGGAAAATAATACTACGAGTAGACTGAAATTCATATGAAAAGTAACAGCTACTCCAAATATTTGAATTTTGAGGATAAAGAAATTAGCATTAATCAGGACAATCAAATAAGGTTAACAAACATAGAAAAATTTACATGACAAGTAACAACAAAAGATACAATTAAAAATGAATAGACATAGAGTTAACAATGTTACCTGTACTGAAGAACACGGGGAATGGGCTACCCATGATCGGTTTCCCATTGCATTCAATGTTCACCATATAGTTCCCTCTCTTGGGAACCACATAAGTCACAGTGTAAGTCCCATCTCCCATATCCTTCACAATACCCTCCTGATCCGATCCCCCAACACCAACACCCGGCGAAACTTTCACCTGAATCTGCGCACCCCCACTCTGTACTTTCCTCCCATCTGCATCCTTCGTCAACACCATAAACGTGGAGGCTGCACAGGCTGTGCCGCCCGCTATTCCTGGCCCTGCTGCCATGCACTTGGCAGGATCCACAGGTCCAATTGGCTTGTCCACCAAGTCACTGGTATCGTCCTCGGACTCACTATCCGATGAAGCCGCCAATACATCCTTGTTACAGCTCTTATCAACATCTTTAAATGTGGCTTCAAAAGCCGCTTTGGCAGCCGCATCTTTTTCTGCCTCACTTTTCAGCTTGGCCTCTTCAGCTTGTTTCATCCATATAGGCTTCGCGCCGGCAGCCAAGCTTCTATCCGCCATCAAATTATAAAATCTAAAAAGAAAAAAGAAAAAAAAAAGAAGAAAGATAAAATCATCAATCATTCAAAATCCAAATCCAACAGCGAAATATTCCAGATCAAATTAAAATATTGAAAAATAAATAAATCGATCGAATGTACTCCAATAAACCTAGAGATTCCATAACTAAAAGATACACCAATTTCAACTTACGATTCAGATGCAACGCCAGAAAGAAAACCTACAGAATTGGTAAAGCAAAACCTTAATTTCGAGGCTAAAAAGGGGGGGAAATAAATTAAGAATTTGAGATTCTACTTTCGATAACTTTTGGAGTCCATCGGGCTATGTTTGGATGCAAAGAAAATTAAGGAAAGGAGGAGAAAATATAAGGGAAAAGCTCGTTACCTTATGCTGTTAAATTCGTATCTGGCGGCGAAATCGGGCGGTAAATGACTATATGAACATATATAGGGCAGATAGCGATGCGATGGGGGAAAACCATGATAAACTCTTTAAACAATTAAAATGTTAAATTCCTCTATTAGCCCATGTATTATACTTAATTTACGAATTCAATTTACATACTATAATTTATCCATTTTTAAATCTTTGTATTTTTTTTAATTTTAAAAATTTCATCCTAACAAACAAATAACGACTTAAATTAGAATAAAATCTGTTAAATCAAGACTTGAAATCTCTTATTGAAAAATAAAGAACAATAAAGACTTAAATTATAATAAAATCAAAGAACTATTTTCGTTATACTCATCATAGATGTTGCTTTGTTGAGTCCATCGACTATTAAAAGTTATAAAATGGTCACTCAACTATTCATTATACTCATCTTTTTCTATTAAAAATTAACGGTCTTCTGATCTAGATGTTAACATATTAACTGACATGTTAATGTATAGTTTAGACGAAAATTAATTTTTTAACAGAGAGAATAATTTGGATAATGAAAAATCAAGTGACTATTTTATAACTTTTAATAGACGAGAGACTCAACAGCTACACCATATAATCAAAGGATCATTTTGTAATTTTAATAATTGACTTAATAGATACAATGACTCTCAAACTATAATCTATTTACATTTTAACCATTATATTTTTGTTTTTAATCAAATATTACCCTTAAAGTATATTTTCGTTAACACTTATCTTTCGTGCTTTAACTTGACGATATTTTTTATATTGAAATTTTAACCAAAATTTTATCCTTCAGAGCATTTAGTAGCTGGGAATGATGATTGAAGCACTTGCAGATCCATAAATATTTTTCAGTATGGACACATATGTATTAATAATAAAAAATTTCATATGGGACAAACATAAATAAAATTTTAGAGTGGGCAATTTCAATAAAATGAACAACTAATATAAAGAAATTCAAATTTCAAGGTGAGCACAATAAAATTTTAAGTGGACATCTTTGATAAAATAAATAACTAGTATAAAAAAATTCGGATTCTAAGTTAGTCACATGCCCACCCTACGATGTACATGCATCCACAAGTGGATTGAAGAGAATAAAGATAAAGGAAGAGACCATGAATTTTTACAAGAAAGAAGATAAAATAATAAAAGTTTATTTTTATTTTTCTAAATTAATAATTTTTATATTACATGAATAAAAATATATACACATTAGTATCGAGAAGTTAAAATTTGACACTTGTTAATTTTATACTGACAAACAGCATATCAGATTCGAGCGACGTAAAAAGTCATCCACGAACACAAATCGGGTTTAATTATTAAAAATATAAAATATACTATAAAATATATTATTTTAATTATTTTAAAATATTAATATATTCGGATCGGATCGAGATCAGAGTTTTAGTCTAAAAATCAAGAAGGAAAAAAACCTAAAACTCATCGGGATGAGGCGGGTCAAGTATAAGATTCATATTTTCGAGTCGGGCAACTAAAAAATGACCCGGCCCGGCTTACCCGTCCCGTGCCCATCCCTTCACAAGTTGATATTTGAACTAGACGCCTTCTCCTAAGTTGGCATCAAAAATTGTTTTGCTCCCAGGTTAATACCAAACTTTAAATTACATCCATTACTTTGTTACTTAAATAAAATGGTTGAATATTATTTTCATGGGACACCAAGACAGAAAAAATTGAACCAAGACCCCAACCAATAAAATATTAAAAAGTTATAATTTAAAAAACTTGAGAATGGAATAAATTTGAGGGCTCAGTCAAAATCATAAAAGATTCGTCTGTAAATACTATGTTGTATTTGAAACAAGCCATATCCAGCAAACATGAAGACTCTTCGTTGTCTAGTTTCACTCTTTTTCTCTTTTCATGCTTCCTTTCTCTTGTGTTTTCTTCTCCAGATGATCTCCCAAAGCAATGCCTTGATGACCAGAGATCTTCCCTGTTGCAACTGCAGCATGATCTTTACTATTCCCCAAATTTTACTTTCTCTTCCAAATTTGAACTTCGGGATGTCAACACTGATTTTTGCTCCCGGGAAGGAGTTACCTGCGATACTCTTGGTCATGTCATTGGACTCGATCTCAGTTACAAAATCCTTTCAGGTAGCTCTCACTTCGTTTTCGATTTCCATCATCTTCAACACCTTAACCTTGCTGGAAACAACTTCAACACCACGCTGCTTTCGTATGGGTTTGATAAACTCCCAAATCTAACTCATCTCAACCTTTCAAGCTCATGTTTCCACGGCCAAATTCTAGTCGTCAAATGTAGATCAATTTCATTGTGAGGAGACTCAACTATCAATAGAGGTTTCAGGTGATTGGATGCTAAGATCATTTTTAAAAGTATTGTGTTCTTAGGAAATAATATGAAGGATTACATCCCCACACCGTTATATAGATATGTCTTGGACAAGAGGGTTTAGGGTAGATAAAAAGAATATGAAGAGCCTGAACAGCATTGGTTGTGTTCTTTTTATGCTGCATGTTTACCATAACATATTTTTCTTACTGCCATGCAGTTTTTCTACTGCGACTTCATGTCAAGAAACTCCTGATGTTACTGTTTTGAGTTATGTTAATGTGCTTTACTTTTACAGTGATAGTCTGGGAGATCTTTCAAATCATATTTTTCAAACTTATATTCTTAATTTACATATGTTCATTGGCTCTAGATTCACGTATCGTTGTGTTTCTTGTTGCTACTAAAAGATTAAGGTATTTTTGCAGGCTTTGGACACCTTCAACACTGCTGTTGCATGCCATGTTTACTATGCCATGTTCACAACATTCACCATTATTGAAATCATAATCATGTTTAAGGCAAATTTTCTTGCAACATACTTTCCCACTCTAACTATAAATGAATCGAGCTTTAATGGACAGATCTCTGTTTATTTTTTAGCTTCTTCATATGATTTTTTATTTGAATCAACTCATTAACATCAAATGAATATTCTCACTAATATGCTCAGTTGCGCAATACGGCTATCGGAAAGAGCAAAATCGCAACTGATAATTTGAGAAAATAAAAATGAAGATAAATAAGACACAAATTTTACATGGAGAACCTATAAATAATATAATCACGGGCAAAAGTAGAATAATTTCACTATGATAAAATAAGAATTACAACTTCTCTCGATCTAACCAGGAGAAAACAATAACAATTCTCTCTTGATAAAAAGAGAACAACTCTCAAGAAAACTCTATAAATTCTCTAGTATTGAAAGAAAACTAGGATGATTTTGGGATGATTTTGAAGCAAAACGGGTTAGTGTATTTATAGTTGAAGCTTAAATATTAATCTTATAAATATCCTAAAGTATAAGGACTAAATGAATAATTTTCATATCATTTTTTCAACCAAAGCTGCAAACTTTCGACTATTATTGCTGCCAACTTATTCCACCAAAAGTTTGGCCTTGCACCTAAAGTTTGGCCAAGTTGGCCACTTGACTTTTCAATTTAATGACTTAAACAGAGTGGTAGGGTATTATTCACATGCAGTAAAAACCGGGAAAGAAGACTTTAGACGTTTCCATGCAGTGCCAAAGACTAAGACTCTGGCCAATACATTATAGGAGATTAAAAAAACATTATACTCATACAAATATGCCTATTTATACCATTACCCGATCTGTTTAATTTCCTCATACCATCTCCAATAATATGCTAATTATCATGGAAAACATTTTATTTTTAGCCTCTCTATCTTTCTTCCTCTCTATTATCTCCTCTCCTTTATTTTCCTTCCAATTGCAACGGCCCATGCCGAGACCTGAACGACTGCTCCGGTCAGCTCATTTGCATCAGTGGCAAGTGCAATGACGATCCTGATCTGGGGACTAGTATCTGCCGTGGAGGTACCCCCACTCCACCAGCTTCACCAAACTGTCAACAGTCGGGTACGCTTCGATGCAGAGACCAAATCTATCCCACCTACACATGCTCACCTCCAGTCACGTCCTCCACCAAAGCTAAGTTGACAAACAATGATTTCAGCGAAGGCGGCGATGGAGGAGGCCCATCTGAATGTGATGAGCGGTACCATAGCAACTCCGAGCTTATAGTTGCACTTTCCACAGGTTGGTATAACGGCGGGTCAAGGTGCGGGAAGATGATAAGGATCAGAGCCAGTAATGGTAGAAGCGTGACGGCTAAGGTAGTGGATGAATGTGACTCAAGAAATGGGTGCGATAAAGAACATGCATACCAGCCACCATGTAAGAATAACATTGTTGATGGGTCCGATGCAGTGTGGAGAGCTTTGGGGCTGAATAAAGATTTGGGGATTGTAGATGTTACTTGGTCCATGGTTTAAACTTTTAATTACTTTTACTATTACCATAATAATAATGGTGATAAAATCTTTATTTATATATATATATATATATAAACTAAGGTTTACAAAAAAGTTTAAACAAAATAATCCAATAGTTATTATAAATTCTGATTACATATCAATAAGATTTACATGGACACGTATGTCTTCTAGAAGAATCAATATTGTACTCTGAATAAACGTGCTCGAATTCTCTGTTCTCTTAATAAATTTGAAGCTTAACTTGGAATGATGACTTGATGCTGAAGAAATAGAGTGATTCTGCAAAGAGACACTACCGCTAGAGCCATCTGTGATTATTTTCGCCGTTATTATATAAAACCCCCCAAAAGATCATTTATCGGAATAGTAACCTCAAACATTATTAATTGTAAAAATACCCTCAAACTCCACGTGTAGGACTATCTCGCGTTTTACAAAACGCGTTTAAAGGATCTCGCGTTTTATTGGATGAGAGATCCATCAACTTTTCAGGTCACTTCATTTAATTTGTGGATAAAGGGCACAATAAATGTGACACGCGTCATTATGATATCAAGATAAATTGCCTTAATCCCAATAAAATGAATAAGAATAAGTAGAATAATTACAATAGTGAGAGTAAGGGTCGATTCACAGGGACTAGGAGTTTGACAACTTTCTTGCTTTTGATTTGGCTTCATGCGTGATTTGTAAAAGAAAATAAGAGGGGGATTTGAAAGTAGGAATAAAAAGTAAAATGTGAAAGGAAAATAAAGAAAGTAAACTAAGTAAAATTTAAGTGAAAATTCAATTGCTAAAAATCAGCCTTGGGCTAAAGCTTTTGTCTCGATTTAAATCGATCCTCGAATAGGATTTTACCTTTGCGCTCACGTCGGTTATAGTCTATAGGGTCCAACCCCGTGTTTTTCTCTCAAATGAATCGAGAATATAAAATTAATTTTCAAATTCCGACTATTTTTGAGTTAATAGTGACAATCGCTTATTAATTCAACACCTTTAAATTATGGAAAAACCTGACTCGGATTCTATATTCTCAATTGAGAATCTAACCTGATTTCAGTTTCCCTTAGCGAACCGTCGCTAAGTGTGTTAAGAGGAAGTCGAATGTGACACATGTCAATCCTTCCTCCCAATTATTAATCGAAACTGAAATTCAATTCCAACGTGTGCTTTTTGGAATGAAATCACCTTGATTATAAAAGGATGGTCGATTACCGATCCTAGATTTTCGAAAACTGAAAATGTAACCCTTGAGGGTATGAAGCGTTTTTCGATTCTCATGACTTAGAATCGAGTCATGGCTATAGCCCTTGGCTATAGAAAACTTAGCTAAGCATGGTAGAAACCATACTTAGCATTTTGAAAGAAAAATAAAATAACTTGAAAACTAAAAAAGAAAGAAAAACTTTTATAAATCTAAGGAAGAAAAAAACAATAGTTGAATGAATTTTGAATGAAAAATTGATGCTTAGAGGATTACCCTAATGGGGTATTTATAGTCCTAAAAAAATCTAAAAAATAATATTCAAAACAAAAGATAATTCATAAAAATAAAAATAAGGTAAATCCTAATTTAGAATTAAAATTCAGCTAAGTCTCATTCTCCATGCACTGTTGATTGGATCTTCTAGAAGTTGCTGATTGGCCTTCTAGAAAATGTTGACTGGGTGCCATGTCACCTGCCAAGTCAGATACCATGTCATCACCATGTCCGCTACCACATAAAGGCCATGTCAGGTGTGTCATGTCTCAAGCCGTGCCTACTAATTCAGCCACGAATCTAGAAAAATAAAAAATTGCACGATTTCGTTGTTCTTAGCATAATTTCTGGAATTCAATGTCCTGCATCGAATATGAATAAAAAGGCCCAAGTCAGCAACTAAAATTATCTAATCAAAGAGTAATTAATCATAAAATAATGTATAATTTAACCGCTAATCAAATGGCCCCTCACTTATTCAATGCTTGTCCTCAAGCATTTCTCAATTATCATGTTAAAATTCTCAAGTTGCCAACTTTAATTCCATAGAATTTCTAAGATTTCTAAACAAACTCAATCAAGCAAATGTTGAAATTCAAGATCAACCAAGCAAAGCATAACCAAGCAAACTCAATCAAGCATGTGTAGTAAATCTTTAAAGCTAGAATTGAAACAACAGCTTTTGATTGGCATGAACCAGCGAAGCTTTTTTTTTTCTATCTTTTCAATGAACTCCATCAAAGTTTCAGTGTGGAAATTTCCACTCCTTGTGCCCATCAATCTATATCAAGCAGCTAAGAAATTTGGTGTATTTTTGTCATTTTAATGACTTAAACAGAGTGGTAGGGTATTATTCTCATGCAGTAAAGACCGGGAAAGAAGACTTTGGAAATTGGAAATTTCCATGCAGTGCCGGATTCTGGGAACTCTCAAGCTCCAGTTGAGAGCTCTCTAGAATTCTCTCTCTCCTTCCAAACAAGGAAATGAAGCAAATTGAATGGAATGACCGGTTTTAGGCCAGGTCTTTGTCATATATATGGCGTATGAAACGGTGTCGTTTCAAGGGGATGGTTTCTGTAATTTCGTCCATGGGAAATTTCTAGTTTGGATCCTCACATGTTTTGTAAACCTTCATTTTAGTCATTAAATAAAAGGGTTAATCCATGTGCGTTGTCCTTAAATTATAATAGGTTTATGTTTTGGTCCCTTGTTTCCTGTATTATTGAAAGTTGGTCTATTTATGTTTTCAGTTACTCGTATTTTCATGTATAAGCAATTTGGTCACTATTTTATGCTGAAAATTTTGGATTATTGCCAAATTAGCTCCCTGTATTTTTGTATTCATGTATTTTGATTCCTGCATTGTTTTCTTATTATATATCGACCCTTAACTTAGCATGTGCACATTTTGTAAATATTGTTACGCAAGTGATGCCATATCAAATATTTATATGAGTATATTTATGTATATATATGTACATATGTGTAGCATTGTTTGTATATTATGATTTTATATGTTTTATGTAGGATATATGTCGTTAGACCTTATTTGCACTAGATTTCTTTATTTTTTATACATATTTTATTATGATATGTGTATGCATAAATTATCTATATATATTTTTATTCATATTAAATTTCATTCTTATTTTATATTCCTTTATTTACTGATACTTTGCTCGAATATTTTCAAGAACTGTATTTGTAGAACGGGTGTGGAAAGTATCACTTGATCGAAGTGGTGCAATCGGATATGGCGTTCAAACAAAATGAGAGCTTGAAATAAATCGAAGTTTTAGTTCTATTTAATTCATTTTTATTTTTAGTTAAACAATATAATTTATGTTTCTCTAAATAGTAATTTATTTTGTTTTACGTAAAATGATGCCGATATGCAATTTATATTCGATTGACATTTTTATATATTCGAAGATAGAATATTCTTTTGCAAATGAGAAATAGTTGAGATAATTTTCCCAACGGAGGATTACAAATTTCAAGATTTATTGTAAGATGATTTTCTTTAAATAATTAATTCGAAGTAAATTAATTAAACTTTAAAAAATGGACCATTCTTTTAACTTTATATTCGATTCAAAGTTTCCACCATTATGACAACGTGTAAGCGATCAAATACCAATTTTGGGCGTTGTGGGAGTGTTAATCCTTCCCCAAGCGTAACCGACTCCCGGAATCTTTAAATCGAATTTTTGGTAAACGCAGACCAATTTTTCTCTTAAAAACGATTTTCCTTAAAATTGTTTTATAAGACGTTTTAAGTATTCGACCTACCTAACTCAAATGTCGATGACGACTCCTATCCAATTTAATTCAAATTAATTCAAAATCATCAATTTTTCAAAATAAAAGTCATAATTTTTTTTTTAAATAATACTTAATTGTTTTAAAAAAATGGTTATGAGATGAGGTTTATGGGTAATCAAGACATGTTTTTTATTTGACATTGGTGGATGTATAGAGATTCTACCAAAGTTAAAGAAAAAAACTGTTTCTGATGTTTATTTTTATTTTTCTCATAACATTTTTATATGTTTATTTTATATATGTAAGTTTATATTATGTGTTTATTTTACTATAAACCAGAAGATCTTTACAAAGGAAATTCACATTCATTGTGCTATCATGTATCTATCCATCACAACCAACGAAGAAGATTCCCAGTTTTGTGTTTATAATGACTAATTCCATGCAGTGATGAAGGGGTAGAAAGACGTAGACATTTGCATGCAACGCCAAAGACCAAGACTAACACTCCAACCAATAAAATTGAAAAGTCGATTAATTAGCCAAAATTCTCCATCTTTTCAATGAACTCCATCAATGTTTCAGTGTGGAAATTTCCACTCCTTATTCCCATCAATCTATATCAAACAGCTAAGAAATTTGGGGTATTTTTGTCATTTTAATGACTTAAACAGAGTGGTAGGGTATTATTCTCATGCAGTAAAGACCGGGAAAGAAGACTTTGGAAATTGGACATTTCCATGCAGTGCCGGAGACTAAGACTAAGGCCAATACATTATAGGAGATTAAGAAAACATTATACTCGTACAGGTTTGCTTATAAATATGTTGTATTTGAAACAATCTTCATTCACAGCCATACCCAGCAAACATGAAGAAGACTCTTTATTTCCTAGTTTCACTCTTCTTTCTTTTTTCGTGCTTCCTTTCTCTTGTGTTTTCCTTGGATGATCTCCCAAAGCAATGCCTTGATGACCAGAGATCTTCTCTGTTGCAACTGCAGCATGATCTTTATTATGCCCCGAATTTTACTTTCTCTTCCAAATTCGAGCTTTGGGACGTCAACACTGGTTGCTGCTCCTGGGAAGGAGTTACCTGTGATGCTTTTGGTCATGTCATTGTGCTTGATCTCAGTTACAAAAACCTTTCAGGCAGCTTTCACTCCATTTTCGGCCTCCGTTATCTTCAACACCTTAACCTTGCTGGAAACAACTTTAACACCACTCTGCTTTCGTATGGGTTTGATAAACTCCAACATCTAACTCATCTCAACCTTTCAAGCTCATGCTTCCATGGCCAAATTCCAGTGGAGATCTCATTCTTATCGAGGTTAGTTTCTCTTGATATATCTAATCAAGATGCTTGCTATTGGAGATATTATCAATTTCTCCACCCATTATACTACAATGTTCTATTGCCTTACGAACTGGAACAACCTCTTAAATTAGAGAATCCAGACTTCAAGACATTGATAAAGAATTTGAGGAATCTCACAGAGCTTTATTTGAATGGAGTGGACATTTCATTTCAAAGTAGTGAATGGTGTGAAACCATATCTTTACTACTTCCCAACCTTCAAGTGTTGAGTCTGTCAAACTGTGGTTTAAAGGGTCCATTATGTCCTTCACTCTCAACACTTTCTTTTCTTTCCAAACTAGACCTTTCAAACAATTACCAACTTATGGGTCAGTTGCCAGAATTTCCATCAAACAGTGCTTTACGCAGTTTGAACCTTCGTTTTACAAATTTAAGAGGGAAACTGCCCGAATCAATTGGCAACCTAAAGTTCTTGACAGATTTAATTCTTTCTGGGTGTCATTTTCTTGGACCTATCCCATTGTCAATTGCAAATCTTAGTCACCTGGTGAACTTGGATCTAAGATATAATAGTTTCAGTGGCCAAATACCTCCATTTCATAGATTTGGAGTTCCAAATCTTGCAGCTCTTCTTTTGGGCGGGAACAAATTTTCTGGATCGATAAATTCTTCATTATTTTCCCTTCCATCATTGCGAATATTGTCTCTCGGAGAAAATCAATTGGTTGGAAAAATTGATGAGTTTCCCAATGCATCTTCTTCATTGATCGAGAGATTATATTTAGGCAATAATTATTTCACAGGACCAATCCCGAAGTCAATCTTTCAGCTTCCAAGGCTTGAAAGTCTTCTTATTGAAGGGAATGGCTTTAGTTCCTTGAAGCTGCCCGTGTTTACCCATCTCAAGAACTTGAGGTTTCTCTCGCTATCCGACATAAGTTTGTTAATTCAAAGCGACAACAGAAGTCTTCAATATTTTCCCCAATTAGAGGCTTTAATACTAAGCTCATGCAACCTCACTGAATTTCCAGAATTCATCAAAACACTAGATAAGTTGACTTATCTAGATCTTTCTAGCAACCATATCCATGGTGTTGTGCCTAATTGGTTGTGGAAGACCACTCTTTTACGGGTAGACCTTTCTTTCAATCCCATTATTGGTTCAGAAAATCCAAACCGAACAAGTGACAAGGGAAACCTCACTTTTCCCCAATTAGAGGGACTAATTCTACGCTCATGCAACCTCACTGAATTTCCAGAATTCATCAAAACACAAGACAAGTTGACTGATTTAGATCTTTCTAGAAACAATATCCATGGTGTTGTGCCTAATTGGTTGTGGAATACCACTCTTTTACGGGTAGACCTTTCTTTCAATCCCATTAATGTTTCAGAAAATCCAAACCGAACAAGTGACAAGAGAAACCTCACTTTTCCCCAATTAGAGGAATTAAGACTGAGCTCATGCAACCTCACTGAATTTCCAGAATTCCTCAAAACACAAGACAAGTTGACTGATTTAGATGTTTCTAGCAACCATATCCATGGTGTTGTGCCCAATTGGTTGTGGAAGCCCACTCTTTTATCGTTAAACCTTTCTTTCAATCCAATACGTTTTCCAAAACAGCTTCCCATAAGTGATGCATTTCCAGAGCTCTTAAGGAGTCTAAGAAACTTAGAAGAACTCAGCCTCTCGAATAACCGAATAAGTGGTGCAATACCAAACTGGGCGTGGAAGAAAAGCCTGGACTATCTGGATCTTTCTAATAACCATCTCTCATCTTTGGACCAACTTTTATCCAACCAGAGTTTAACTTCTTCGCAGGCCTCTTTGCTTCGACCTATTTGTGATATGAGTCGACTATACTTTTTCGATGCATCTCATAACAATTTCAGTGGCCCCATTCCAAATTGCTTAGGCAATATGAGTGCCATCGAATATTTGGATCTTCATGGAAATAACTTCAGTGGAATCTTACCAGATTTTTCAAAGTCACCCAATCTGCGGATACTCAAAGTCAGTGAGAATAGATTGGATGGGAGGTTGCCAAGATCACTGGCGGAATGCACCCGGCTTGAAGTCTTGGATGTGGGAAACAACATGCTGCGTGATACATTCCCTTTTTGGTTGAGGAAATTGCCTGCGTTGACTGTTCTAGTATTGCGGAAAAACAAATTTTATGGTGAAATTAAACATTTCAAAAATAAAATTGTTTTCCCAACTTTGGATGTGTTGGACATTGCTTCTAACGAGTTTTTTGGTAAACTGTCCTTTGATCTCCTTCAAGCCACTCAACTAAGGTCGCTCAAAATTGGTGGGAATAAATTTGAAGGGAAGCTGCCAAGATCATTAGTCAATTGCTCAAAACTTGAGGTTCTGGACCTCGGAAACAACATGATTCATGATCCATTCCCGTTTTGGTTGGCAAAATTGCCTTCCTTGAAAGTTCTCATTCTACGAGCAAACAGATTTTATGGTACAATTTCAGAATCAAATGCTGAAAGTGGTTTTCCAAAGCTGCGAATATTGGACATTGCTTCCAACAAATTTTCAGGTGAATTATCCATTGAATTTTTGCAAAGTTTGACGGAAATGACAATGATGACTGATGGTGGCCAAGCTAATAAGCTAGATTACATCGGAGAGCGATACTATCAAGATTCTTTGACTATTGTCAATAAAGGGGTTGAATTGTTCTATGAGAAAGTCTTGACCATTCTTACTTGTCTTGACCTTTCCAACAATAGTTTCCATGGGAGAATACCAGGAGAAATACATATTCTCAAGGCACTTAAAGTGCTAAACTTGTCCCATAATAGCTTCTATGGCGAAATCCCATCAGCACTTGACAACCTAAAAGACCTCGAGTCTTTGGATCTCTCACTCAACAAGCTCTTGGGGAAGATTCCTCCACAGCTTACAAGTCTAACTTTCCTGGAGGCACTGAACTTGTCTTACAACCAACTTGAAGGGAATATACCACAGAGCAACCAATTCGGTACATTTTCAAATGACTCTTATCTTGGGAACCCAAAATTATGTGGGCGGCCATTGTCAAGGAATTGCGGTGAAGATGATCTTCCAGTGCCACATTCTCCAAGGGAAGACAAAGAAGATTCATGGTTAGATGCTATGTCTACTTGGCAAATTGCTTTGATAGGCTATGCTAGTGGTTTGGTCGCTGGGCTATGCATTGGATATACAGTGTTGAATGAGTTGGGAAACAAATGGGTTTACAAGCTCAAAAAGCATGGGGAAAGGAATAGAAGAAGATCAAGGTGACTCGATCTGAATTAATGTTTCAAAATCATCAGGTAAGCATTTCATCTTCTTTAAATTTACTTGAATTAAGTTTATGCATATAAAAATGATGATTGTTGCTCGTATTCTTATTTTCAGGCCAACAATCTGAGAAGACAGTAAGACCTATAGGCTTTGGTTTTTGTTATTTATTCCATGGAAAAGAAAGTGTGGATTGCAAGAGTAAAGTTCAGAAAAAGGCCTATCCCAGAATTGGAACGTACGTTGCCGCAACTCCCAATCTTTTTTCATTTCTCGACAACCCTCTATGTTTGTATCTTTAATAAATATATATGCAGTTGGAAAAGGTTAAACTTTGATCATTTGGAAGTAGGATTACACTGGACTGCCACCAGTGGCTGACCTCGACAGCATGTGAGAGGACATGAAGAATCTCGGCAATGATCCTAACAAGATCAGTCCACTGGTTTGTAATTTGGCTTTTATATGCACTTGTTCCTTCTATAATTTTCCACAAGTATGTAACCGTTTATTCGTTTTAGCATCCAGGTCCCTATGGATTTTGTTGTTAATCATTCAGAACAGCCTAATGTCACGAGATCTGAAAATGCTGTCCGTGCAAACACTGAACTTGAATCTCACATGTACAAAGAGAGAATTGCTTTCAGTAAATGCAGTTCTGGAATTCTTCACCAGGTAATGATGCAAACTTACATATACATGCATGCAAGTTCAGGGCAGTTTGTTCAAATGAAAGAAACTTTGGTACTGAGTTTGTATCTAAATAAATTTGAATATTAGCCCGGTATACCTCGACGCGTCGTCTTTAACAATGATGGAATACTTTTTATTTATGGTATGTTTTGATACAGCAATGATAAATGGATTAGGAATTGGTGGCCGTGGAGTTAGTGGAACGGAAGCAGAGGCAGCAATGCTAGGCCAGGTGTTACCCAACCCATTTTTCCTTATTTTCATGAATCTCTATGCAGTTGAAAAGCTTATTTACTTTTCTTTCTAATCTTTTATTTGCAGATTATGCAGCCCCCAAGCATGGTAATGCCTGGTGTTATTCAGGCATATTTATCGAGTTTTATGGTTAGGTCTATGATCACAAATCTTGACAGAGTTAAATGGCCTTTGTCCCCTTAAAGCTTCAAATAATTGCATTTGAAATAGAAAAGCACACAAATTAAAAGTGGTGGCTCACTCTGTTCACATCCCAAAAGACTCTTCGGATCAAGAAATGAAAGAGGTGACAAAGGGCCCTTGGTTGTTCGTGATGAAGCTGTTACATATACTCTCTCTTTTATGATTCGTGTAATTCCTTTCCATAACTTAATTCCTATGCAATAAGATACAAATTGGTCACTAATAGATATAAAAGCAACACATGCACACTCTCACCTACAAGCATTCCTCTGTTATAGAAAGTAATCCATAATTCTTGAATCTAAATGATAAGAACGTTTTATCTCTATTTTGTTGCAGGGGCCAATCTCCCTGGTGTTCTTGGCTTCCAATCCCACATCTTTAATTTGAAAATACATTTAAGGTAATGATCACTTTGGAGTATTTTATTGGATATTTCGAATTAAACATGAGCTGCATGCGTTTGGTTTGCTAGACATGCAAAAAGTTATGTCAATAATCTCCCTTGTGAGATCCTTCTCGGCCTTTCACCTCTCCAAACAGAAGTAATTAATATGCAGAAACTCGAGATCATAATGGTTATGTACAGATGAAATGTTTTTGGTTTTGTATATGCATGTTATTAGAGTCATATTGGTAGGCAACAACTTTAACCGTTATTCTAAGCGATTGGGGGCTAATGTTGTGTTTGAATGTACTATGTTCTTGGGCAACACATGAAGTGCTTGCTCATACAGGGATATCTTTTGAAGTTTTAAAGTGATTCACCCAGAAAAACGACAGACATTTGAAGACATATGATGATGGGCATGCTATGCTTCAATTCACAAGACATTTGGGGCACGTAATCTTTCTACAGAACTGAAACTTGCATGCTAATAATACCATAGAAGAGGATCAAGTTTGACATGGCCTTCTTTATTGTGTTATTCATCATTTTTAGATCAATTTTTTTATGCAGCTGAGAAGATATTTGAGGACCGGATGTTGATGAAAACCACATTTGACGGAGTGTTTCTCTTTTCGGAATGGATTAATTCTAGTGGACATGGTTCTGACTAGGGAGAAGCAGGTTGGCAGCATCCTTTTCATGTTTAGCCGCAACCACTGGTCTCCAAATTCTGTTCACTTCGGTGATAAAACGCTGGAAGTTCACAGGCACGGGACAACAAAGGTTCGCTGGACGAGGCGGAGCCAGGAACCTTCAGGGCGTGGAGTGTTATTGGTGAAGAAAATGGAAGGGTTCAACGGGGCAACATTGGTTCATGTAGACCCTCTTAACAGTCACTGAAACAAGCGGTGAAGGGAAAAATTGTCACCATTTAAGTTTGAGAATTTCAGTTGTGAACACAGTTTAGCGTAAACCAGAAGGAAACTCTGCTTCTTCCCCTGTTTCCAGGCATTGAAAGAAAATGGTATTCAATATTTATATAATTTTATTTTTTATAAATTAATGTATTTTAATGAAGTTTTGTATTCATATCATAATTACACTATAAGATTATGATATAATTTTTTAATGTGTTTTTCAATTAAAATTCTCTTATCACCCAAAAAAAATCACCTTTTTACTGCTTTACAACTTTTAAATGTTGAGTCTGTCAAAGTGTAGTTTAAAATGTCTATTATGAGTTCCTCTTTATGTTAGGTTCAAGTGCCTCCTGGTGCACATTTCCTCTTCAATTGATTTTTTTATTTAATATTGCGGTGACACGTGTCACCACCTTATTAGAGAAAAAATAGATTAAATTAGAATAAATAAAAAGTAAGAAAATATCCTCTAATCTGATAGTGACACGTTTCGCCATCTAAATTGGAGATTAAATTTATTTTAATTGAATTAAATTATGATTAAATTGATAGAATGTAAATATACTGAGGACGAAATATGTAATTATACCAAGTTTTTTAACTACCACGTCAATTCCTCTGTTAAAAGTTAATGGTCAATGACTTGATTGAAACATTTAAATATTTGGGTGGTCTGATTGATGAAATGGATACATCGGTGGTCAAAATGAAAATGGGCAATAGATAAGTGGTCTCCAATGTAATATACCCATTAATTTACTATTGTGATGCTTGGCTCAGTGGTAGTGGGGCACGCCATTTGTCTCAACAACTTGGTTCGAATGCTGTTCAAGGCAACTAATTGAATGATTAATTTATTAAATTAAATTAAAGTTAGGATTAAGTTACAAAAAGTGTAAGTAATAAATATTAAATGTGTAATTATTTAAAATTTTTATTAACTGCCACATCACCCCTTTGTTAGGTTTTAATGTCAGATGACTTGATTGATACTATAGAAATAGTTATGTGGTAAGAGCAATCAGTCTTGTTTTGAGTTTTACAAAGATGTTATGAACGCATGATGTTGGCATATTTGTCGAGTTTTACGGTTAGGTCTATGATCACAAATCTTGACAGAGGTAAATGGCCTTTTTCCCCCTAAAGCTTCCTATCATTGCATGCTCATTGATGGCATTTGAAATAGAAAAGCACACATTTTTTAGCAGGTGTCCAAAAGCAAAGGTGGCGGCTTACTCTTTTCGCATTGCCAAAAGACTCTTCGGATGGAGAAATGAAGGAGGTGACAAAGGGCCCTTGGTTGTTCGTGATGATGCTGTTACATATATTCGCTCCTGTATGATTCGTGTAAATATTTTAAATAACCTACTTCCCATGCAGTAGGATAAAAAATGGCCTTGGTTGTTCGGAAAATGATAGGTGAAAAGGCTTATCCCAGAATTAGTATGCTACCACAACTCTCAATCTCCTTTGAATTATATATAATTGAGGCAGGCAGAGATTAAAAAAGGCTTGAATTTCAAATCAACAAAGAGAAACTTGCGTTCATTAAATGGACTTCATCTGCTTTTAAAAACATGCTTGTTCTTCCTCCTGGTTCTGGAATTCTTCATAAGATACTGATACAAATATACATACACATGCATGCAAGTTCACAATTATTCGTTCATCTCAACTTGGAATGATAACTTGATGCAGATGAAACAGAGTGATTCTGCAAAGAGACACCACTGTTAGAGCCATCTGTTTTGGAATGATACCTTCATAGGAGATGAAGACTTTACCAGAAAGTTGAGAGATCTCCTTTGCTTCCTCTTTATAATTTTTCTTTGCAAGGAAGAATCAAATAGTTGAATGTTCAGTAGGTGAGAAGCAAGTTATGGACTCACTGCTTGCTTCATCATCTTCTCACCCTTAGAGCCATAAGAGAGATCCAACTGGATTTTGGAGACTGCAAATTGGATGTCAACAAATGCACAGATGAATAATTTTTTTTTATGTTCGTTTTACAGATCATATTCATAATAGTGTTTGAATTTCTTCTTTTCTCTGTAAGTATTAATTGATTGATCAACCTTAGATATATCCTTGTAAAGAATCTTTCAAACTTTAATGAAGTTGGTAAGAGTTGACATTTTAGATTCTCAAGGAAAGTAAAATAAAAAAGAAAATGTGCTTAGCATTTGAAATAGCCATCAAGTTCATGATTATTTTATCTTAACAAGTATACGAGCCGAGTTCATATTATCAAGTTCATGATGTGAGTAGGACCGTAAACGAGTCGAGTCGAGTTCGAGTATTACTGAGTTCGATTGGACTCGAAAAGTTTGAAATTGAACTTTACTCGACTCCAAAGCTCGCAAGCTTAAAATTGTGAAACTCGACTTGAACTCAAAATAAAAAATTGAAGCTCGACTCGAAAGCTCACAAGCTTCAAATTTTGAAGCTCGAAAAAACTTGAACTCGTAACATTCTTAGACTTAGATCGATTGAAGCTCGAATTATAAAAGCCTTGTATTTAAAAAATACCAATAACATATAAATGTTAATATCAGTAATAATTTAATTTAAAATTTGAACGCGTTTTTGGTGCGTAATTAAACTATTTTATCACCACTGACTCGTTCAATCACCTTACAACCAGGTCGAAGTTCTTCATGCATTGCATGCAGCAAAGACACGATGGGTTTCTTTTAGACTTTTACAGATACATGGTAGGAGAGTATGTAAACAATAAACTAATACAGATTTGTCTATAAATACAATGATGTACTTGAAACAATCTTCCATCACAGCCATAACCACCAAACATGAAGACTCTTTATTTCCTAGTTTCGCTCTTCTTTCTATTTTCATGCTTCCTTTCTCTTGTGTTTTCCTTTGATGATCTCCCAAAGCAATGCCTTGATGACCAGAGATCTTCTCTGCTACAACTGCAGCATGATCTTTACTGTGCCCTTGATTTCACTTTCTCTTCCAAATTTGATCTTTGGGATGCCAACACCGATTGTTGTTCATGGGAAGGAGTTACTTGTGATGCTTCTGGTCATGTCGTTGGACTTGATCTCAGTTACAGAAGCATTTCAGGCAGCTTTCACTCCATGTTGGATCTCCGTCATCTTCAACACCTTCACCTTGCTGGAAACAACTTCAACACCACTCTGCTGTCGTATGGGTTTGATAAACTCCCAAATCTAACTCATCTCAACCTTTCAAGCTCGTGCTTCCATGGCCAAATTCCAGTGGCGATGTCGTTCTTGACGAGGTTGGTTTCTCTTGATCTATCTAATCAAAAGCACTGTTATATGAGAAACGGTGATGGTTATTTTTATGATTCACCTACTCTGAAACTAGAGAAACCAAACTTCAAGACATTGATCAAGAAGTTGAGGCATCTCAGAGAGCTCTATTTGGACGGAGTGGACATTTCGTTTCAGACTGGTGACTGGTGTGAAACCACATCTTTATTACTTCCCAATCTCCAAGTGTTGAGTCTGTCAAACTGCGGTTTAAAGGGTCCATTATGTTCTTCACTCTCAAGACTTCCTTTTCTTTCCAAACTTGTCCTTGACTGGAACCCAATCTCTTATTTACCTCCAAATTTCTTGGTAAATTCCTCAAATATGACTTCTCTCAGCTTGGTAGATTGCAGTTTGAGTGGGCATTTTCCAACACAAATTCTTTTATTGCCAAAAATCCAAAGCATTGACATTTCGTTTAATGATCAACTTATGGGTCAATTGCCAGAATTTCCACCAAGCAGTGCTTTACGGATTTTGGAGCTTCCTTTTACAAATTTCGGTGGAAAACTGCCTGAGTCAATCGGTAACCTTAAGTTCTTGACAGATTTAACTCTTATTTTTTGTCAATTTTATGGATCCATTCCATCATCAATTACGAATCTTAGTCACCTTGTGAACCTGGATCTAAGATATAATAATTTCAGTGGTTTAATCCCTCCCTTCCATAGAATAGGAGTTCCGAATCTTGCATCTCTCTATTTGGATGGGAATGGGTTTTCTGGATCAATAAATCCTTACTTGTTTACCCTTCCGTCATTGCGAGTCTTGTCTCTTGGAGCAGATCGATTGGTTGGAAAAATTGATGAGTTCCCCAATGCATCTGCTTCATTGATTGAGGAATTAGATTTAGGCTATAATTATTTAACAGGACCAATCCCAAATTCAATCCTTCAACTTCCCAGGCTTGAAAGTCTTAATATCGGAGTCAATAGCTTTAGTTCCATGAAGTTTGACATCTTCTTCCAAATCAAGAATTTAAGGGAACTTGACCTATACAACATAAGCATGTTAATGGAAAGTGACAACAAAACCCTCACATTTCCCCAATTAGAGATCCTAGGACTAAACTCATGCAACCTCACTGAATTTCCAGAATTCATCAAAACACAAGACAAGTTGACTTATCTTGATCTTTCTGACAACCATATCCACGGTGTTGTGCCTAATTGGTTGTGGAAGGCCACTCTTTCACGGGTAGACCTTTCTTTCAATGCCATCGATTTTCCAAAACAGCTTCCCTTAAGTGATGCAAACTTCTCTTTTCCAATGCTGAGGCAATTATATCTGGGATCATGTAACATAAGTGTTTTTCCAGAGTTGTTAAAGAGTCTAGAAAATTTAGAATTACTCGACCTTTCGAATAACAGAATGAGTGGTGCAATACCAAATTGGGTGTGGAAGAAAAGCTTGGGTTATGTGAATCTTGCTTATAATCATCTCTCATCTTTGGACCAAATTTTATCCAACCAGAGTTTAACTTCTTCGCAGGCCTCTTTGCTTCGACCGATTTGTGATATGAGTCGACTATCCTTGTTCGATGCATCTCATAACAATTTCAGTGACCCCATTCCAAATTGCTTAGGCAATATGAGTGCCCTTCGATATTTGGATCTTCATGCAAATAACTTCAGTGGAATCTTACTAAATTTTACAACAGCACCTAAATTGTCGATACTCAGAGTTAGCGAGAATAGATTGGAAGGGAAGCTGCCAAGATCATTGGTGGAATGCACTCAGCTTCAAATATTGGATTTGGGAAACAACTTGCTGCTTGATACATTCCCTTTTTGGTTGGAGAAATTGCCTGCATTGATTGTTCTAGTATTGCGGGAAAACAGATTTTACGGTCAAATTAAATATGTGAAAAATAAAACTGTTTTCCCAACTTTGGATGTGTTGGACATTGCTTCTAACGAGTTTTCTGGTGAACTATCCATTGATTTCTTTCAAGCCAGTCAGCTGAGGTCGCTCAAAATCGGCCGGAATAATTTGGAAGGGAAGCTACCAAGATCATTGGCCACTTGCTCAAAACTCGAAGTTTTGGACGTTGGAAACAATATGTTTCATGATACATTCCCGGTTTGGTTGGTGAAATTGCCTTCCTTGAAGGTTCGCATCCTCCGAGCAAACAGATTTTATGGTACAATCAAAGCCTTTGACACTGGACTTGGTTTTCAAAACCTAAGCATACTGGACATTGCTTCCAACAATTTTTCTGGAAATTTGTCCGTTGAATTTTTGCAATGTTTGAAGGCGATGATGCAGACGATCGATGGCCGCAAATCTAAATTGGATTACATCGGAAGGCTGTACAACGGAGGGCAGTACTATGAAGACTCTGTGACAGTTGGTAATAAAGGGATTGAAATGTTCTACCAGAAAGTTTTAACCATTTTCACATGTCTTGATCTTTCCGGCAATGGTTTCCATGGGAGAATACCTAAAGAAATACGATTTCTCATGTCACTCAAAGTGCTAAACCTGTCCTATAATAGCTTCTTTGGTGAAATACCATCAGCACTTGAGAACCTAAATGAACTTGAGTCTTTAGATCTCTCAATGAACAATCTATCAGGTAAGGTTCCTCCACAGCTTACAGGTCTAACTTTCCTGGCGGCATTGAACTTCTCTTACAATAAACTTGAAGGGAGCATACCACAAAGCAATCAATTCAGTACATTTTCAAACGATTCTTATCTTGGGAACCCAAAATTATGTGGGCCGCCATTGTCAAGGAAATGCGATGAAGTTGGTATTTCGGTGCCACCTCCTCCAAGGGAAGACGGAAAAGATTCATGGTTAGATGCTATGTCTACTTGGCAAATTGCTTTGATAGGCTATGGTAGTGGTTTGGTCGTTGGGCTATGTATTGGATTTACAGTGCTGAATGAGTTGGGAAACAGATGGGTTTACAAGTTCAAAATGTATGGGAATCAAAATAGAAGATCTAGGAGACTCCATCCAAGTTAGTGTTTCAAAAATCATCAGGTAAGCATTTCGCTTTGAAACTTCAGTTTTCCTAATTTGAAAAGGTAGTTGTTGTAAACTACGAGACATTGCATATTCTTTCGAAATTTGGCACTGACCTATTTTTTTTATTTCAGGATGGACTGGAAGCAGGACATGGAATGTAAATTAAGGAGATACTATAAGAGATGAGGACTTCACCAGAAATTCGATATTGGGGGAATTGAAGCAGAGGCAGAACTGCTAGGGCGGGTATTCCCACCCCCTTCAATCTTATTTCCATGGATTATATGTAGTTGAAAAGCTTATTTACTTTTGCTTCTATTGCTTTATTTGCAAACTATGAAGCCCCTGAGCATGTTGTTGTTCAGGATATTGCGAGTTGGTGTAAGAACAACCAGTCAGGTTTAGATTTTGACCAAGATGTCAACAAGGCATGAAGTTGGCATATTTGTCGAGTTTTATGATTAGGTCTATGATCATAAATCTTGATAGAGGTAAATGTCCTTTGTCCCCATAAAGCTTCAAAGCGTTGCATGTAAGTTGGTGACATTTGAAATAGAAAATAACCAAAAGTATGGTACAAAATTTGTAGCCGGTGTCTTGATGAAAACACTGTGATGCTTCCTTTCTCTTGTGTTTTCCTAGTTTCACTCTTCTTTCTGCTTTCATGCTTCCTTTCTCTTGTGTTTTCCTTGGATGATCTCCCAAAGCAATGCCTTGATGACCAGAGATCTTCTCTGTTGCAACTGCAGCATGATCTTTATTATGCCCCGAATTTTACTTTCTCTTCCAAATTCGAGCTTTGGGACGTCAACACTGATTGTTGCTCCTGGGAAGGAGTTACCTGTGATGCTTTTGGTCATGTCATTGTGCTTGATCTCAGTTACAAAAACCTTTCAGGCAGCTTTCACTCCATTTTCGGCCTCCGTTATCTTCAACACCTTAACCTTGCTGGAAACTACTTTAACACCACTCTGCTTTCGTATGGGTTTGATAAACTCCAAAATCTAACTCATCTCAACCTTTCAAGCTCATGCTTCCATGGCCAAATTCCAGTGGAGATCTCATTCTTATCGAGGTTAGTTTCTCTTGATATATCTAATCAAGATTATTGCTATTGGAGATTGCCTTACGAACTGGAACAACCTCTTAAATTAGAGAATCCAGACTTCAAGACATTGATAAAGAATTTGAGGAATCTCACAGAGCTTTATTTGAATGGAGTGGACATTTCATTTCAAAGTAGTGAATGGTGTGAAACCATATCTTTACTACTTCCCAACCTTCAAGGGTTGAGTCTGTCAATGTGTGGTTTAAAGGGTCCATTATGTCCTTCACTCTCAACACTTTCTTTTCTTTCCAAACTAGACCTTTCATTCAATGACCAACTTATGGGTCAGTTGCCAGAGTTTCCATCAAACAATGCTTTACGCAGTTTGAACCTTTCTTCTACAAATTTAAGAGGGAAACTGCCCGAATCAATAGGCAACCTAAAGTTCTTGACAGATTTAATTCTTCATGGGTGTCATTTTTTTGGACCTATCCCATTGTCAATTGCAAATCTTAGTCACCTGGTGAACTTGGATCTAGAATATAATAGTTTCAGTGGCCAAATACCTCCATTTCATAGATTTGGAGTTCCAAATCTTGCAGCTCTTCTTTTGGGCGGGAACAAATTTTCTGGATCGATAAATTCTTCATTATTTTCCCTTCCATCATTGCGAATATTGTCTCTCGGAGAAAATCAATTGGTTGGAAAAATTGATGAGTTTCCCAATGCATCTTCTTCATTGATCGAGGGATTATATTTAGGCAATAATTATTTCACAGGACCAATCCCGAAGTCAATCCTTCAGCTTCCAAGGCTTGAAAGTCTTGCTATTGAAGGGAATGGATTTAGTTCCTTGAAGCTGCCCGTGTTTGGCCTTCTCAAGAACTTGAGGTTTCTCGAGCTATCCAACATAAGTTTGTTAATTCAAAGCGACAACAGAAGTCTTCAATATTTTCCCCAATTAGAGGCTTTAAGACTACGCTCATGCAACCTCACTGAATTTCCAGAATTCATCAAAACACAAGACAAGTTGACTGATTTAGATCTTTCTAGAAACAATATCCATGGTGTTGTGCCTAATTGGTTGTGGAAGACCACTCTTTTACGGGTAGACCTTTCTTTCAATCCCATTATTGGTTCAGAAAATCCAAACCGAACAAGTGATAAGAGAACCCTCACTTTTCCTCGATTAGAGAGACTATTGCTACGGTCATGCAACCTCACTGAATTTCCAAAATTCATCAAAACACTAGATCAGTTGACTTATTTAGATCTTTCTAACAACCACATCCATGGTGTTGTGCCTAATTGGTTGTGCAAGACCACTCTTTTATCGTTAAACCTTTCTTTCAATCCCATACGTTTTCCAAAACAGCTTCCCATAAGTGATGCAAACTTCTTTTTTCCGATGTTGAGGGAACTATATATGAGATCATGTAACATAAGTGCATTTCCAGAGCTCTTAAGGAGTCTAGGAAACTTAGAACGACTCAGCCTTTCGAATAACCGAATAAGTGGTGCAATACCAAACTGGGCGTGGAAGAAAAGCTTGGACTATCTGGATCTTTCTAATAACCATCTCTCATCTTTGGACCAACTTTTATCCAACCAGAGTTTAAATTCTTCGCAGGCCTCTTTGTTTCGACCTATTTGTCATATGAGTCGACTATTCTTTTTCGATGCATCTCATAACAATTTCAGTGGCCCCATTCCAAATTGCTTAGGCAATATGAGTGCCCTCGAATATTTGGATCTTCATGGAAATAACTTCAGTGGGATCTTACCAGATTTTTCAAAATCACCCAATTTGTGGTTACTCAAAGTCAGCGAGAATAGACTGGAAGGGAAGTTGCCAAGATCATTGGCGGAATGCACCCAGCTTGAAGTCTTGGATGTGGGAAACAACATGCTGCGTGATACATTCCCTTTTTGGTTGGAGAAATTGCCTGCGTTGACTGTTCTAGTATTGCGGAAAAACAAATTTTATGGTGAAATTAAACATTTCAAAAATAAAATTGTTTTCCCAACTTTGGATGTGTTGGACATTGCTTCTAACGAGTTTTTGGGTAAACTATCCTTTGATCTCCTTCAAGCCACTCAACTAAGGTCGCTCAAAATTGGTGGGAATAAATTCGAAGGGAAGCTGCCAAGATCATTAGCCAATTGCACAAAACTTGAGGTTCTGGACCTCGGAAACAACATGGTTCATGATGCATTCCCGTTTTGGTTGGCAAAGTTGCCTTCCTTGAAGGTTCTCATTCTACGAGCAAACAGATTTTATGGTACAATTTCAGAATCAAATGCTGAAAGTGATTTTCCAAAGCTACGCATATTGGACATTGCTTCCAACAACTTTTCGGGTGACTTGTCCGTTGAATTTTTGCAAAGCTTGAAGGCAATGACAATGATAACTGATGGTGACCAAGCTAATAAGCTAGATTACATCGGAGAGCGATACTATCAAGATTCTTTGACTATTGTCAATAAAGGGGTTGAATTGTTCTATGAGAAAGTCTTGACCATTCTTACTTGTCTTGACCTTTCCAACAATAGTTTCCATGGGAGAATACCAGGAGAAATACATATTCTCAAGGCACTTAAAGTGCTAAACTTGTCCCATAATAGCTTCTATGGCGAAATCCCATCAGCACTTGACAACCTAAAAGACCTCGAGTCTTTGGATCTCTCACTCAACAAGCTCTTGGGGAAGATTCCTCCACAGCTTACAAGTCTAACTTTCCTGGAGGCACTGAACTTGTCTTACAACCAACTTGAAGGGAATATACCACAGAGCAACCAATTCGGTACATTTTCAAATGACTCTTATCTTGGGAACCCAAAATTATGTGGGCGGCCATTGTCAAGGAATTGCGGTGAAGATGATCTTCCAGTGCCACATTCTCCAAGGGAAGACAAAGAAGATTCATGGTTAGATGCTATGTCTACTTGGAAAATTGCTTTGATAGGCTATGCTAGTGGTTTGGTCGCTGGGCTATGCATTGGATATACAGTGTTGAATGAGTTGGGAAACAAATGGGTTTACAAGCTCAAAAAGCATGGGGAAAGGAATAGAAGAAGATCAAGGTGACTCGATCTGAATTAATGTTTCAAAATCATCAGGTAAGCATTTCATCTTCTTTAAATTTACTTGAATTAAGTTTATGCATATAAAAATGATGATTGTTGCTCGTATTCTTATTTTCAGGCCAACAATCTGAGAAGACAGTAAGACCTATAGACTTTGGTTTTTGTTATTTATTCCATGGAAAAGAAAGTGTGGATTGCAAGAGTAAAGTTCAGAAAAAGGCCTATCCCAGAATTGGAACGTACGTTGCCGCAACTCCCAATCTTTTTTCATTTCTCCACAACCCTCTATGTTTGTATCTTTAATAAATATATATGCAGTTGGCAAAGGTTAAAGTTTGATCATTTGGAAGTAGGATTACACTGGACTGCCACCAGTGGCTGACCTCGCCAGCATGTGAGAGGACATGAAGAATCTCGACAATGATCCTAACAAGATCAGTCCACTGGTTTGTAATTTGGCTTTTATATGCACTTGTTCCTTCTATAATTTCCCACGAGTATGTAACGGTTTATTCGTTTTAGCATCCAGGTCCCTATGGATTTTGTTGTTAATCATTCAGAACAGCCTAATGTCACGAGATCTGAAAATGCTGTCCGTGCAAACACGGAACTTGAATCTCAAATGTACAAAGAGAGAATTGCTTTCAGTAAATGCAGTTCTGGAATTCTTCACCAGGTAATGATGCAAACTTACATATACATGCATACCAGTTCAGGGTAGTTTGTTCAAATGAAAGAAACTTTGGTACTGAGTTTGTATCTAAATAAATTTGAATGTTAGCCCAGTATACCTCGACGTCGTCTTTAACAATGATGGAATACTTTTTCTTTATGGTATGTTTTGATACAGCAATGATAAATGGATTAGGAATTGGTGGCCGTGGAGTTAGTGGAACGGAAGCAGAGGCATCAATGCTAGGCCAGGTGTTACTCAACCCCTTTTTCCTTATTTTCATGAATCTCTATGTAGTTGAAAAGCTTATTTACTTTTCTTTCTAATCTTTTATTTGCAGATTATGCAGCCCCCAAGCATGGTAATGCCTGGTGTTATTCAGGAAATTGCGAGATTGTGTAAGAGCAACCAGTCTGGTTTTGATTTTGACAAAGATGTTAACAAGGCATGGTGTTGGCATATTTATCGAGTTTTATGGTTAGGTCTATGATCACAAATCTTGACAGAGGTAAATGGCCTTTGTCGCCTAAAGCTTCAAATAATTGCATTTGAAATAGAAAAGCACACAAATTAAAAGTGGTGGCTCACTCTGTTCACATCCCAAAAGACTCCTCGGATCAAGAAATGAAAGAGGTGACAAAGGGCCCTCGGTTGTTCGTGATGAAGCTGTTACATATACTCGCTCTTTGATGATTCGTGTAATTCCTTTCCATAACTTAATTCCTATGCAATAAGATACAAATTGGTCACTAATAGATAAATAAGCAACACATGCACACTCTCATCTACAAGCATTTCTCTGTTATAGAAAGTAATCCATAATTCTTAAATCTAAATGATAAGAACGTTTTATCTCTATTTTGTTGCAGGGGCCAATCTCCCTGGTGTTCTTGGCTTCCAATCCCACATCTTTAATTTGAAAATACATTTAAGGTAATGATCACTTTGGAGTATTTTATGAATATTTCGAATTAAACATGAGCTGCATGCATTTGGTTTACTAGACATGCAAAAAGTTATGTCAATAATCTCCCTTGTGAGATCCTTTTCGGCCTTTCGTCTCTCCGAACTGAAGTGATTAATGTGCAGAAACTCGAGATCATAATGGTTATTTACAGATGAAATGTTTTTGGTTTTGTATATGCATGTAATTAGAGTCATATGGTAGGCAACAACTTTAACCGTTATTCCAAGCGATTGGGGGCTAATGTTGTGTTTGAATGTACTATGTTCTTGGGCAACACATGAAGTGCTTGCTCATACAGGGATATCTTTTGAAGTTTCAAAGTGATTCACCCAGAAAAACTACAGACATTTGAAGACATACGATGATGGGCATGCTATGCTTCAATTCACAAGACATTTGCGGCACGTAATCTTTCTCCAGAACTGAAACTTGCATGCAAATAATACCATAGAGGAGGATCAAGTTTAACATGGCCTTCTTTATTGTGTTATTCATCATTTTTAGATCAAATTTTTTATTTCTAGATTTTTTTCTATGCAGCTGAGAAGATATTTGAGGAGTAGATGTCGATGAAAACCGCATTTAACGGAGTGTTTCTCTCTTCGGAATGGATTAATTCTAGTGGACATGGTTCTGACTCGGGAGAATCAGGTTGGCAGCATCCTTTTCATGTTTAGCCGCAACCACTGGTCTCCAAATGCTGTTCACTTCGGTGATAAAGTGCTGGAAGTTCACAGGCACGGGACAACAAAGGTTCGACGGACGAGGCGGAGCCAGGAACCTACAGGGCGTGGAGTGTTATTGGTGAAGAAAATGGAAGGGTTCAACAGGGCAACATCGGTTCATGTAGACCCTCTTAACAGTCACTGAAACAAGTGGTGAAGGAAACTCTGCTTCTTCCCCTGTTTCCAGGCATTGAAAGAAAATGGTATTCAATATTTATATAATTTTATTTTTTATAAATTAATGTATTTTAATGAAGTTTTGTATTCATATCATAATTACACTATAAGATTATGATATATATTTTTTATGTATTTTTCAATTTAAATTCTCTTATTAACCAAAAAAAAAAATCACCTTTTTACTGCTTTACAACTTTTAAATGTTGAGTCTGTCAAATTGTAGTTTAAAATGTCTATTATGAGTTCCTCTTTATCTTAGATTCAAGTACCTCCTGGTGCACATTTCCTCTTCAATTGATTTTTTTATTAAATATTACGGTGACACGTGTCACCACCTTATTAAAGAAAAAGTAGATTAAAATAGAATAAATAAAAAGTAAGAAAACATCCTCTAATCTAATAGTGACATGTGTCACCATCTAAATTGGAGATTAAAATTATTTTAATTCAATTAAATTGATAGAATGTAAATATATTGAGGACCAAATATGTAATTATTCCAAGTTTTTAACTACCATATTACTTCCTCTGTTGAAAGTTAACGGTCAATGGCTTGATTGAAGCATTCAAATATGTAATTATGTGGGCCGCCATTATCAAGGAAATTCGATGAAGATTATATTCCAGTGCCACCTCCTTCAAGGGAAGACGGAGAAGATTCATGGTTAGATGTTATGTCTACTTCGCATATTACTTAGCATCCGGGTCCCGTTGAATTTTGTTGTTGATCATTCGTTCCAAGTTAGTGTGAGAAGATCTGAAACTGCTGTACAATCGTACATGGAACTTGAATTTCAAAAGAACAAAGGAGAGATTTGGTTTCAAAAAATGGGTCTCATCCGCTTTTGGAAACCAAGGAAGCGCAGATTGCCAGAATAAAGTTCGGAAAATGATGGGTGAAAAGGCTTATCCCAGAATTAGTATGCTACCACAACTCTCAATCTCCTTTGAATTATATATAATTGAGGCAGGAAGAGATTAAAGAGATTAAAGAAGGCTTGAATTATATATATTTCACCTGCCAAGTCAGATACCATGTCATCACCATGTCAGCTACCACATAAAGGCCATGTTGGGTGTGTCATATCCCAAGTCGTGCCTACTAATTCAACTACGAATCTAGAAAAATAAAAAATTACACGATTTCGTTGTTCTTAGCATAATTTCTGGAATTCAATGTTCTGCATCGAATATGAATAAAAAGGCCCAAGTAAGTAACTAAAATTATCTAATCAAAGAGTAATTAATCGTAAAATAATGTATATTTATCGAGTTTTATGGTTAGGTCTATGATCACAAATCTTGACAGAGTTAAATGGCCTTTGTCCCCTTAAAGCTTCAAATAATTGCATTTGAAATAGAAAAGCACACAAATTAAAAGTGGTGGCTCACTCTGTTCACATCCCAAAAGACTCTTCGGATCAAGAAATGAAAGAGGTGACAAAGGGCCCTTGGTTGTTCGTGATGAAGCTGTTACATATACTCGCTCTTTGATGATTCGAGTAATTCCTTTCCATAACTTAATTCCTATGCAATAAGATACAAATTGGTCACTAATAGATATATAAGCAACACATGCACACTCTCATCTACAAGCATTCCTCTGTTATAGAAAGTAATCCATAATTCTTAAATCTAAATGATAAGAACGTTTTATCTCTATTTTGTTGCAGGGGCCAATCTCCCTGGTGTTCTTGGCTTCCAATCCCACATCTTTAATTTGAAAATACATTTAAGGTAATGATCACTTTGGAGTATTTTATGAATATTTCGAATTAAACATGAGCTGCATGCGTTTGGTTTACTAGACATGCAAATTGTTATGTCAATAATCTCCCTTGTGAGATCCTTTTCGGCCTTTAGCCTCTCCAAACTGAAGTAATTAATATGCAGAAACTCGAGATAATAATGGTTATTTACAGATGAAATGTTTTTGGTTTTGTATATGCATGTAATTAGAGTCATATGGTAGGCAACAACTTTAACCGTTATTCCAAGCGATTGGGGGCTAATGTTGTGTTTGAATGTACTATGTTCTTGGGCAACACATGAAGCGCTTGCTCATACAGGGATATCTTTTGAAGTTTCAAAGTGATTCACCCAGAAAAACTACAGACATTTGAAGACATACGATGATGGGCATGCTATGCTTCAATTCACAAGACATTTGGGGCACGTAATCTTTCTCCAGAACTGAAACTTGCATGCTAATAATACCATAGAAGAGGATCAAGTTTAACACGGCCTTCTTTATTGTGTTATTTAGATCAATTTTTTTCTATGCAGCTGAGAAGATATTTGAGGACCAGATGTCGATGAAACCCACATTTAATGGAGTGTTTCTCTCTTCGGAATGGATTAATTCTAGTGGACATGGTTCTGACTAGGGAGAAGCAGGTTGGCAGCATCCTTTTCATGTTTAGCCGCAACCACTGGTCTCCAAATGCTGTTCACTTCGGTGATAAAATGCTGGAAGTTCACAGGCACG